ATCGGTTTGGTATATTACAGTATGGGTAATTATCCAAAAGCACTTTCATCTCATGAGAAAGCTGTTGCAAGTCGACAACAATCACTTCCTTCCAATCATCCTGATTTGGGTGCTTCTTATAACAACATCGGTGCAGTACATGAGAATATGGGCAACTATGCAGACGCTCATGCAGTTTATGAACGTGCTGTTCAAAACGTACTACAATCATTGCCATCAAATCATTCAAGTCGTCAACAATGGAGAAAAAACCTCGAACGCATAAAAAAGGGATTATAATTTCTTTCTGCATTTTTTTAAAAGTTAAAAATAACTGATGAAAAAGATGAATTGTAGAAAAGACGCTCATGGTTACATTATTATGTGTGAACAAGTAGAGTTTCGTTGTATTAGTTAAGTTGATGATTTTCCTTGCTCAACTACATATTTAAAAGATTGAAAATATTATATCTCAAATGTTGTATGTTTTATATATAGTGATTTTGTTTCTATATTTTTCTAATGCAAAAGGTTTTTAATTCTATCATGGTCATAATAGATTATATAAATAAGAATGATATCACTACTTATTCATGTCAATTTTTTCTTCTAGTACAAGAAAAATGTACCCAGATTTTTAAAGTAAACCAAGTGATTTTATGTTCACAAATCATTCTTAAAACTATATACTAATTTTAGTTAAGCTATTTCAAAATCTAATTGCTTTTAATTCATTATCCTTTTTCGTTTTGTCGATTAATGTCATAATACTTCATTATAAAGTTTATTTCAAATACATTATGTTGATTTCGTTCTTGAGGGTGGGTATGGATGTGTATGTTATTTTTATCTGATACCCACACCCACACTCTAATACAAATTTATCATTTATATTTACATTAAAATTAGTTGTCTCTTTAATATAATTATGAATATAACTAATCAGTAGAATATATTTTACCCTGGTGTAGGTTTAAATAAGCGAGAGAAAAGAAATGAAATGGAGATAGCAGTGAAAAACATTTTAGGACATAATTTAAATGATAATTCATTTTACTTTGAGAAAAGAACGTAAGTAAAAGCTCAATTGATGAATTTTATATCATTTGATTCTCGTAACCATATTTACTTCATGTATGCTGTCAATCTAAATAGTAGTGTATTTTTATTGACATGTAATTTAAATTAATCGATTAGATTTAATCAATTTCGATATATGTATACTACCTTATTTGCATTTCATATCTACCGGAGATGGTCATATAGTTTCTTAGTTGAATGTTTTATATTTAGACTCGATTAGAAATGATACACAAGACGAGTATACCATTTGATAATTATCTATCAACAATATTAGTAACAAATTCAATAAATATATAAATGTAAATAATATCTTTGGTATATAGTTTCCAATTAAACAAAATTCATGAATTTTATATTTGCTTTCATCTTTATATGTATTCTTTTTCTAGTTGACATTAAACTGCTAGAAAATGTACTCAAATCTTTCTCTTTTCACATAAAAAAGTATCAATAAAATATTTCAAAATATACTTCTTCTATCAATTTAAACTAAAATTATATCATTTGATGTCTTCTACTTTGTCAATTCTGATAAAAATTAATATATACATGATATATATGAAAAAGTTTGTCGCGCTTTTTATGACGCTGTATCAATCAAATAATATTGTTGATTGTCGTCATATATAGCGCTTTTATTTTTCGCGATATTATCGTTTCTCCTATACGATCGTTAATTCCATAGTCTAGCAGCGAAAAAACCGAGATTTTAAAAATCCCGAAGCTACACCAGACTAGACGGAATTTTAGTTTCGATCATATTTTCTTTCTATGTCTCTTTTGATTCTTTCAGTTCTCTAAGATCTATCCACATAGGTAGATTAAAGAAATAAAATTTTTCTCTAATTAATACTAGAGATAAGACATATAAATGAAAGATAATGAGGAGAATACTCGATGAGGGAGTTAACCGTGCAAAGTTATTTTTTTATTGTTAACCAATTCTATAGCGATAAATCACTGAAAGATTTGGTTATTTTTCAACTTTCATACTTCATGATTGAAAACTTATAGTGCACAGTCAAAAAAACAATCATATATGTATGAAGAAAAAAGCTGATCGAGTTAACTCAAACCATCTTGAGGGTGGCTAATGCCTGAGCTCCGCTCATATCGAGTGATCCAAAATTTAAATTCAGAAAACAAACATTTAACTTTCATTATTTTTGATTGGATTAGATACCAAAAGAATATATTCTTTATCTATATTCAACGTAACGGATGTATTTTGTAATATGTCGCTAGTTGCTTTCGAATTGATATAAGAAAAATTGAACCAATAGAAAAAAGAAAAGTAAAATAAATAATATTCATTTCTTATGCTTCTTAGTAGTCTTTTGGTCTATTAGAATCATAATCAAAATTTATACGATACAATGACCGAATTGTTGCATTCTCAAGCTGATAATATACTTATCAATGATTATGAGGTATTTCTAAACTAAATTAATTAAATAACAATAAAAATAATCTTGTTTTGTTTTTTACTAATAAAATTTATGTAATCATTAGAGGTCAGATGTTGCTGTTTTACCCGATGTAGCAATTATTCAGGTTAGATATAATCATTTTAGTATATATATACAAGAATAGATTTACTTTCTTTTTGCTTGCTTGAAAATTTTTATTATAAAAAACAAAAACTTATATTGATTTAAATTTTTAGACATCAACAACCGGAGAAAATGTTTCATCCAATGCAGCAACTGCTTCATCGCATGCACGAGTTGAACCAGTAGATCCACAAGATCATGAAACAACTCGTAGACATCGACGAGATGGAAATCCTGAAGAGCAAAGACCATTGAATAATGATCATGAAGAAATATTTAAATATGGTAAGTCATTTTTCTCTGAATTAAAAACTTCAATTATTCTAATTTTATAGGAGCAAGTCATGTTGTGAAATTATTTGTACCTGTTTCACTTTGTATGCTTATTGTTATATTAACAATTAAAACAACAAGTAAATTTATTATATCATTAATAATCATGATCAATTTGTAAATTTTATTTTTAAGGTTCATATACACCAGGTGGTGCGACATGGGCGTAAGAAATTCTTTTTTGGAAAAAAATCCATTTTAATTCTATTTTTTATAGTTATACACCATTTACTGAAGATAAGCCAACAAATACACAAAAAATATTATTTTCATTGGCAAATACATTTATTTTTATGGGTTTTGTTATTACAGCTACTGTTATTTTGATACTTTTATATAAATTTAAATGTTATAAGGTAAATTTATTAATTTTACTAAATAAATGTTAAATTATTATATTCATAGATTATTCATGGATGGTTAATTTTAACAACATTAATGTTACTCTTCTTTTTTCTCTATTCATATTTCAGGTTTGTTATCTTTTACATATATATTAACAAATACTAAAATCATTTATTTGTCTATTGACTTTTCACAGTAGTATATCCGCATCATTAAATCGACCTATTGATATGATAACAATATGTTTTTTAACATGGAATATTGGTGTTGTTGGTATGTTTTGTGTTCATTGGAAAGGCCCATTACGTATTCAACAAGCTTATTTAATTATGATGTCTGCTCTTTTGGCACTTGTTTTCTATAAATTTTTACCTGATTGGACAGGTTGGCTTATTCTTGGTGTTATATCCATATGGGGTATGTCTAAAGAATAATAATTTCATTGATAAACTTCTTTTTCATTCAATTTTAGATCTTATTGCTGTTCTATGTCCTAAAGGCCCACTACGTATTCTAGTTGAAACTGCACAAGAACGTAATGAACCGATATTTCCAGCATTAATCTATTCATGTAAATTTACTTACGAATGCTTTCTTTTTGTATTAGAATTTATTTTCGAAATTTTTAGCTACAATGGTCTATATGATTACAGCAGTTGATCCACCAGCTGAACCTGAATTTACACCAGTTAGTGTTAATAGCACTACTGCTGGTAAGAAATCACATCATCTCGATTTAAGTTTATTTGAAAAAAAACAATTTATTTTAGTTAATGTTGATGAACCATTAACTGATGAACAAAGGAATGAACGTGCTACAATAAGAAATAATAATGCTCGACGTCAGCTTATTCCTCGAGCTGATGTACCACAAACTGAAGGAAGACGTGAACCAGCTCGATATGTAGTTGAACGATCAAATTCACCTGTACCAGATGATGATGATGATGAAAGTTAGTTTCATTTGTTTACAAAAAGCTTTTCTAAAATTCTCTGTATTTATTTCAAAAATGTTTTTAGAAGGTGTTAAACTTGGTTTAGGTGATTTCATATTCTATTCTATATTATTAGCCAAAGCATCAGCACTTGGTGATTGGAATGTTACAATAGCATGTTATCTTTCATTATTAATTGTTAGTAAAAATCTTTTAAATTATATCTTATAATATTATTTTTTCTTCCTAGGGCTTATGTTTAACATTACTTTTATTAGCTATATTTCGTAAAGCATTACCAGCTTTACCTATATCGATTACATTTGGTCTTGTACTATATTTTTCAACTGTTTATATAATTGGTCCATTTACTGCTGAATTAAGTACTGGACAAGTTTTTATATGATAAAAATCATAAAGAACAATTTCAAATTGTCTTTTCTTTTTGTTTTTGCTTCTATTCGATGTCCAAATATCCTAGTCGTGTGTTTCATACACATATGAATGTATCATTTCTTTGTAATTCGTGTTTTCATTGTAACAAACTTTAAAAAAAAACCATATATAATATATATATACATAAGTGATTTTTTTTGTTTTTTTTCTTGATTTCTCTTTAAAAAATGAAATTAATAAATATCAGATGATCAAATTAATCCTTTTAATCTTGTCTATGATTTTCTAGGAGGAAAAAAAGAAATAATTCTATATACTCGATATGTATTTTTTTTTCTTTTATATAAATAGAAAATGAAACTTAATGAAATAGTAAGAAGTATTTTGAGAATAGATTTAAAGTTTATCTCATGGTCATCTTTTCGTATTTGTAATATGAGAATTACTTGTCCTTGTTGTATCATTTCAATAACGATAATTGTTGATCAATAGCAAACATTCAATATACATGTTGTAATGACAGTAAAAGAAGTGAAAAAAAATCCATCAACCAATTTTACATTTTTTTTATGGAGTATGAATATCGTTTAAGATCCCATATTTTTTTTTATATTCTCTTCTTTAAACTAATGACAATCTAAATAGTATTGAACCTTGAGGATCAGATCGATCATGGATGGATAAATGCGTCCATCCAAGCGATACAAAAAAAGGAAAAGAAAGGTTAAAAAGGACAACCAGCGGTCATCTTCTTTCTTTCGTGTTTTATGATTACATCATATCATTATTGTAATGTGTTAGTATCATCATAACTAATGTTTTTTAGTTAAATGGTAAGCTTTCTTACATTTCGATTAAAATAAATATATTTGAAAAAAATTTATATATAAGTGTAAAAAGACGTGCTTGGCTTTTTTCTTGAATGACAATGATCTTCTGTAAGTATACACATAACATAACACGTAAAGAACAGGTAGGTATAAGAAGACTTATATATAATTCATTTAACAGTCTTCTTTCATTTCGATGATGGTTCACAAGAAAGGTTACGTTCTGTATGAGAAAGACAAACGATATAACTGTCCCTCACCTTTTTATATATTTTGTTTATATTAATCAGTGTTAAATGTACAACTTATGTGAGATAGTTGATTATATATATACATATCTATGTATTCTTTTAAATCTTCAAGCCTATGAATAGATTATCAAACTAACCATCTTAGTGAGATTTTCGCATATATAGACGTTTGAAGGCAAATATAAGATATAAGTATGAGATAAAACTTTATTAGTAAAACGAATAAATGTCATCTTTGATCATTAAGTTAAGATTTTCTTTTGTTCACAGTATGAAATACTACTATCAATGAAGTTTGATATATGTATATGTACTTTAATTCTTTTGATTACGTCAAACTTTATCTTGTCTTTGTTTCTGTATATACATATACAAGTATATATGTACATATGAACCTCGAAGGTGACCACACATACACGCACAGATGGTTTTCATTTTCCTTTTTCTTTTCTTTTTTTTTGTTTTATTTGTTATGTATATATAATACATATCCATTTTTAAAATGGACATCAGAAGTGTGTTTGTGTGTGAACGAATATTTAAACGATTGAATGTTACTGTCAAAAGAAAGTATAGGTGACGAATGTTAAAATCAGTTCTTTTCTTTACTTTCTTCTCATCTCCTCCCATCATAAACGATCGATCATCAACTTATATAGCTTCTTGCGTGTTCTGTTCAAAAAAAATAAAGAAAAAGAAAAAGAAAAACTATGAAGACCGCAAGGCGACGGTAGTGGTCATCATATAGCGCAATACAATTAAGCATCGAACAATCAATTGTACATGATCATCGACGATAACGTTTGATATGTCACAACCGTCATCACAACTGTACATTTAAAGGCAAAGAATTGGTGAAGAATTGCGTGTATTGGCTAGTAAAAATGTATACATTGCGTCAATACGGACATTGGGAGTGTCGAAATCGAGGAGAATGCGAGAGAGAGAGTGAGAAAAAAGAGACTTGGGATGTAAGCTAAACGAAAAAAGAAGAAGAATGAGAAAAAAGAGGCTTATTAACATACAGATGTAGCTCATACTTTGTATATGAATATGTCTTAAGGCTTTTGTTAGATCATAAGAATTTACTATTCGATTTCACTTGAAATGGCAATTGAGACAGTCCATTTTGTGATTGTGTCCTCAGATAATATATGTATATGTGTATATATATATATATATGTGTGAGTAAATGTCTTTAGATCAAATACGACAAAAATGAACGCTTTTAAAATTGATTCCTCATCGAATGACTCTTTCTTTTGTTCTTTTCTGTTTATTATGCTAAACAATCTGAAGTTTATATATAGTAGATATGTACAATTTGAAGGACATATTTATATATATATAGATTCATGTCTGACTTCATTGAAAAATAGAAATTAACCTTGGTCAACAATAAATAAACTAGTTGTTCTATTTATTAATTTCTTGTACTCCTTACACACATATATACATATATACATACATATTTGTATATATATAAATCCAATAGTGAGAGCGGATCGTGTCTCTACGTGCTCTTTTCTGTATGTTATTCTCCTTTATTATTCAGAAGCCATAGAATGCTATTTCGATTATTTTAATGAATTTGTCGTGTGTAAATTGACATAGACAAACTTAAAGTCGTGCCTTTTCATTTCTTTTACTTTTCTTCTCAAATATTCTCCTACTATTCATATCGATTGACCTGAGAGAAAATGAATAAAACCTTGAATATTGTGAAGAAGATCAGTAATAACTGATAACTGATCTTCTCTTCATTGCATATATGTTCATTCTATCTATATTCGTTAAGCATACAAGCGTATGCTTACATGAAAGATAAGTATCCAGTAGTTACAATGTCATCTCTCTCACCGTCCCTTTTTTTTCTTCTTATTAATAGCCACTCAATATTCTCGCGCGCATACATATTACACAATTTTAGACAACGGTTTTTTTTTCTTTTTATATTGAAGACACATTGCGAAATTTTTTTTTGTATGTAGTTTATCGTTTTTTTGCAAGCATCATTACTATTGAACAAAGGAGGAAGAGGAAAGAAGGGAGATGGAGATAGAGAGAGAGAGAGAGAGAGAAAGAGAAAGACAAAATAATTACATATAGATGTTTGTTGTTACATATCTCTGTATATAGATAGATATGAAAAATGGCAGACGAACAAAACGTTGCACTACGCACTCTATTATCAGTTCAATTTGATGTTATGACTGGCTGCCTGTCTATCATTAGATGACATTAGATCATCAAACTGTCTACATGTAACATTTTCGATTGAGGTGCCAGGTAAGTATTAGAGAATGAAAAAGAGAATGAATGAACATTATATGAAAAACAATAAAGTGATAGAAATAGACAAAGTGAATAAAAATAGAACTATGTCTAACATACTTAAAGAAGTATGAATAAACATAGACATATATAATAAAAAAAACAAGGTAAGAGTGAACAAAATAGATTTCTATATATACATATCTTTTAATAGTTATTGTTTTAAATATAAACTTTCTAATTAATTTTTTTAAGTTTCATAATATAAAACTAATCTCTATTAATATAATATTCCAAAGAATAATATTTGGATATAAATTGTCTTTTCGTTCTAATGTCAAATGATCTTCTTTTCTTTATCGTTTTTTTTTCTTCTTCTATTTAACGACTGGACGATTCCTATCCAGTGCTATTTACTGTTATATACCGTCCATCCATTTATCTAACTATCGATATTGCTCGTTGTTCTCTCTGTTAAACGAGAATACGACCTTTGTTTATCTAGAATGACTTCTCTTCTTCGATATATACATATAAATACTCGGTGAATCATTGACTAGTCTCAGTTTACATATCCTCTATCATATTATTTTACTAGTAAGACGATAAATAATATGCACTATTCATTTTTTAGTTAAGTGAAAAAGTGAAACATATAAGTACTAGATCAATAAAATTCAATTATCGATAGAAATTAACTTATGATATTATATGCAAATATTTATTTTAATTTTTTTCAGCATATATTACACTTTTTTCTCTTATTTATTTTAGACAATAAAAGATCTCATTTTGTCTTGAGTGAGAGTGACGGCGAAGTCTAATGCTGACCACTCCGACGACGACGACTATTCAATTTAGTTCACCCGCTGATGATGTTTTTAAAATTGGTTAGTTTAAAAGAGAGAAGAATAGTGAAGAGAAGAGAAAAGAAAAGAATTTTTCTATATATAATTATTCATTATTTTATTTCATTCTTTTAAATAGACATGACATCAAGTCAGTCGCCTTCTAATGGTTTCGTTGGATTACCGCCTCCTCCTCCTCCGCCGCCGGCACCACCCGTATTTAACAACACAAATAATTTATGTAAAATTTTACTTCCACATCAAGAAGTTAATTTAGTTGTTAATCGAGCTAATGTTACGGAAATTCAAGCACGTTCTATTCCAACAATGCTCATGGCTGGCAATAATATTTGGACACGACGTGTAGTACCAAATCTTCGTATACAACAAACTATATTTGATGAACATTATGGTGAATCAAAATCGACAATGACAGGGCATTATCGAAGATCAAGTTTAACAACATCTTTTATAGGCGGAGGAGGAGGAATAGGCGGTATTAATGACGATGGACCACTTTCATTTGTTTTACTTGATGCTACATCTAAAATGCTTTATGATGTACCAATGCGTCATTTACTACAATTAGTCAAAAAAGATCATGATGATGATGCTAGTATTGATCATGTTATTCGAGCTATTGACGAAACACATATGAAATCAGAATGGTAAGTAGTTACATACATACATACATACATATATATAGAATCTTATTAACAAAACATTTTTCAAGTATTCATTGATATAGATGTAACATATTTGTATTCTTTTCTTTTACTAGTATTTATTTAATCTATGTTAACTTCTTCGTTTTTTTCTTTTGACAAAGTGCACTCATATTACTTCTATGTTGAGTTTAGAAAAAAAAGAGAGATCCTTGAATAAATGTTTGATTTGCTTTAAGGGTTATTATTTAGTATTCAAAAAAGAAGAAGATTGTTTACTAAGATGTTTATATTATGTAAAAAAAATTGATTATATATATATTTGATTAAATATTGAGGTTTCTTTTTGAATAATGACTTATTTTACATAATAAAATTTTTAAATATTACGAAAAACATATGAGGATATATCAAACAAATTATTTTCATATATTTAGGCTTGATGCTGTTACTGCTTTAAATAAACAATTTGATAAACGACCCGAAGATAAAGCTCGAGTATTAGCACATAAAGGATCAACACATGGTTTGGTACTTATAGAACAATTTTTTGTTAAACTTGTTCGTGTACCAGCTTATGAATTTAAATTAATTTATTTAAAATTTCGTGAAGAAGCACCAACACAACTTGAACGTATGAGTAAACATATAAATGATCTACTTGAAAGTGTTCAAGTTATTTTAACTAATGAACAATTACCAGGTATTCTTCATTTACTTTGTTTACTTTACAATAGTATAACAGGTAAAACAATTCCTGGTCTTCATTTTGATTCCATATTATCTGTTCTTTCAACACGTACACCAAAACAAAATACAACTATATCACATGTACTTTGTCATTTATTAGAAGAACAATATTCAACATTATTAAATATATTTGATAATCAAATATTATTAAAATTAAAAGATTTATCATCAATTAAATATATACCAATTTATATTGATATAAGATTATTATATACACGTTATAAACAATTAAATACAACATTACGTGAATTACAACAACAATTAATTATATTACCTGAACATATTAAAACAACACTTAATGATTTACAACTTACATTTACAAAATTATTTGATGATGAAAATAAAATAAAAAAATGTGAAAAAGATTTAGCAAGTTATTTTTGTGTTTGGGATTTATCACTTGAAGTTTGTTTATCAACACTTGGACAATTTATTGATAAAATACGTCTTGCTCATATGCAAAATGTTGAACAACGTCGTCGAAATGATTTAGCACTTAAACAACAATTACAAAATCAACGTACATATGAAAATCGTACACTTCAAACACCGACAACATCACGTTTATTACGAAGTTCACAAAATCAATATGGTTCCGATACAAATATATTTCGTGATCATCTCAATGTTCCATTAACACCAACAGCTACACGTCAACGATTTAAAGTTAATAAAACTTCACGTGAACGATTTTGTGCATCATCACGTGATGTTTCTCATATTAATGATGATCAACAAGAACAAATAGAATCAACAACACCATCACCATCACCACCATTAACAACATCAATAAAATCAACACCAATGCGTACACAAAATCTATTACCAAATGCAATACCTCGTAAACGTGGTCATTCACCAGCAACAAAAACTGTTTTTACAAAACGACCATTTAATGCTCTGCCAGTATGTTCACCACCACCAATTCAAGATCAACAACAATTAGATGATGTTTTTGTTTCACCAATAACAAGTAATGAAAAAGAAGATGATAATGATACACATATGGATTGTTCAACAGCAACAACAATGTCAACATCAACAGCAACAACAACAACAGAAGAAATAAATTCTATTGATATGAATGTAACTGATGATCATTCATTACCAACAAATGACTCATCAACAGCTCGTATGATATCTGTTTGTGAAATTCGACCATCATTCTATTTAACAACATCAATAAGACGTTTATTTGATCCTTCAACTGATCAATCAACACCAAATGATACTAGTTCATCTTCGGAATATAAAACAGGTAATTCTATAACACCATCATTCACCGATTATCAACATTATCAATATTCAAATAATGATAATGAACATAATAAAGAGAATTCAAAATATCCATCAACATTAACTCCAATTACATCATCATCATCATCTGAAATACAAATTCCAACTGAGGTAAAAAAATCTAGTGTATTCAAACTTTTTCTAAAAAATCCAATATATAATTAGTGATTAGTTAACTAACACATTGTTCTTGATTCTCTATTAATTAATTGCTTGATTAAACATCTTTTTGTTTACCTTATTTTTCTTTTTTTTGCTTGCTAACTGTTGTTATGTTTATTTGGTTCTTTGTTTGCTGCTTCTGCTACTTTTTGTAGTTATCTTCTCATTGGTATACAAATTTATTTCATCTGATTTGATGTTCAATATTGATAACACCCCACTTTCCTTCAAAAAAGTGACCATGAAAAAAACAAAAAAAAAAATGATATTCATCGATTTCTATTTGTTTGTTGTTAGAAACTATTTTGTATCTTGTTGTCAGATCTAAGAAGATAGCATATTTATCATGTCACATATCCGATATTAACGATTATTACAATCAATCATAAACATTTACATCATGGAAATGTGCGTGAATTAGACTGATCTTCTTCTCGTTTTCTATTTTTTCTTTACTTTTTCTTTTTCTTCTTCATATATATATTCATGTTTTTAAGATAAAACCAAAAGATTGTTGAAACAACTTTATTTTTGATTTGATTTGTTTTTTTTCTAAGTTTACTTTATTTTTGAAACAGTGATGTTTAGTTCGTGGTTTTTTTTATAGAAAAAAAAGATCTTTTCATTTACTATCATTGCATTTCTATTTTTGCGTTTTGTTTCAAGCGTTCGTTTGTTTGTTTTTTTTTTGCTTTATTGTTAACTCTAACCGTGATTTATTTCATTCTTTTCATGTAGTTGATAACATCGTGTTTTGTATGAATAGTTGATATTTTTGAAGATGAGAAAAACATAGATTAATATAATATGAACACAAATGCATGTATACTTCTTTTCTAACCACTGATTAGTATTAGTACTGTAGTTATAACAACACTTCATATTAGAACTTCTTTAGTAGATATATATATTGCTTTTTATTCGGAAACTCATAACAGGTAAGTACTGATGAAATTCTATATTGAAAGTCAATAATAAGATTTTTGATATTATTCGGAATTCATTATGTATTGAAGACTTAACAGTAGAAATAACGTCATTATCGTTATGTTGATTGAAAGAATATATCAGCACGTATTATGAAAAAATATTTCATAAATCTTAAATCTGATATTTACTTTTTTCGAAAATATTTCTCAAAAAATCGATTCATTTTAGTTACCTTCATTATCAAATCCTATTGAAGATGATAGTCAACAATGTTCTAGTTCATCATCTTCATCATTACCAGCTGATATATCCAATGATGAGAATCATAGTTTACCTATAATTCCATTATTACTATCGGATTCCGAAACACTTGATGAAGGTTTTGAAACTCAATCAAATATAAGTGAAACTGTTGAATTAATCACTCCACGATCATGTCCATTAGAACCAGTTTCACATGAAATTAATGATATCAAATGTAGATCAATTGAAGAAACACTTGCTGACGATCTTACTCGACGTCTTACTTTTAATTCAACTCGTCGATTAAGTCATGATAGTGGTATTCGTATTAATAGTAAACGAATATCTCTAGCCAATGCTCGACAAGGAAATTTATTGAAAACATCAGCTTCTGCTTATAGCTATCCAACATTTAATTCGAATGGATTACAAAATCAACATAAACATTTGTTTACAAAACGTACACCATCAGCTGAGAGTATACGATCTATATTGAACAATAATAATAGTTCAGCGATAGCTCTTCGATCAAGTCGACATATACAACGATGTGCTGTATCTCGAAGGATTTGGACTGAAAAAGACTCTGATGATACATCAAAAACTCCAGCTACTTCTCCATCATCATCAACACCATTATCTCCATCGTCAACACAACCAACTTCAGTAGAACCTGATGATGTATCATCATCTTCTACTGCTACAACGACAACTACGACTACAACTGCAAAAACAAGTACTATGACGATGATGAATCATCGTATACCGTCTAGTAAAGCTAAAAATAAAATTCGTAATCTTCAATCGTTAACTAATGCATCATCACGTTCAAATTCTCCTCTCATTCGTAAAATTCCCCCTCGTCTTGGTCATGCAAGTTCATGTCAAAATGTTTCGACAATAACACCAACCAACACTAATTCAAAATCTTCACTAATAACTAAAACGCGTTCTCCACCAAATTTTTTCTTAAATAGTAGTCAACTTCTTCGTTCAACATTTACTCGATCAAATAATGAAAAGCCTTTACGTGCTTTTCAAATGTCAACTACAATGAATAATGAATCATCCGTACTAAATCGACCATCACCAAGAATACGACGATTATTTAGTTCAAGTAGTGATATTGAATCAACAACGATATCATCACCTAAACCTGTTCGAAAACCACCATCATCTTATCATCATCAAAAATCATCTACGAATAAAACAGTATTAACTACTGTTCTTCCATCTTCTAGTTTACCTACCAATCGAAAAAAATCGACTAGTACAAGTGATCTACGTAAAACAACTCCAATGAACAGTAGTGTTTTTCAACGTTTAACTCAATCTAAACGATTGTAATATGTAAAAACAAAAAAAAAAGATTCTTTTTTTTTCTTTTCATTTTTCACAATGTATGCTCTCTTCTTTTTAAATTTGTTTTCTTTCTTTCTTTCTTTTTATAATGATTGAATCTATTTTAGAACAAAATTAATGATAAGCAATTTGTATCATGCTTTGATTTTCTTTATACATATATATTTTTTTCTTTTAAACGTATATAACATCGAACAAAAAAACTAAACCGTTAGTTAAAACAAAAAAACCCATGCAAAAAAAAAACAAACAATATTAACGCAAAAAAACATCAAATATTCGATATTTGAATGAACATTTAAAAACAGAAAGAAAAAAAACATCAAATTAAGTTATATTTAGATACATGATAAAATCGATGCAGTTGTATTGATTGGTAATGATCCTGATCGTTTGCGATCGTACTCTTTAATTGCTAATTTTCGTTTTTGTTCTTTATTATTTTCAACATGTGCAAGACGAAGTTTATCAATAAATTGACCGACAGTTGATAAGCAAACATTAATTGATAAATCGTTTGAACAAAAATAAGCTGCTAAATCTTGTTCACCTTTCTTTAAAATATTTTCTTGTTTAAATAATTTTTCAAATTGTAATTTCGTTTCTACAAACATCGATTGAATAAATAATGGTAATTCATAATGATTTTTAATAAAAGAATATTCACAGTCAAGTTGTTGGTATTGTTGGTATATATCACGAATTTCTACATAAATTTTGCTAAAATTTATTGAACATACCTTTTTTAATTCAGTAAATTTTTCATCGTTAATTGTACTCATTAAAGAATTTCGATAATATTTATCGAGAATTTCTACTAAAACATGTGCAACAGTTTTATTTGATTGATTTGTTGGCGAGTTTAATGCATCAACTAAGGATACAAGATCCAGACCTGGCACAGATTTATTTGAGACGCTGTTATATAAAAAACATAAAAGTTGGAATATTCCAGGTAAATGTTCATGGCCAAGGACAAGTTCAATACCACGAATAAAATGTTCAATTGATTGACTAAATAAAACTAATTGTGGTTGTAATTCATCACGATATTGATAACATTTTAATTTAAAACTATAATTAGGTATACGAAGAAGTTTTATAAAAAATTGTTCAACTAAATTAAGGTCATCGAGATTTTTGATATTAAATGTTTCAAATTTTAATTTATCTTCAGGTCGTTTGTCGAATTGTTTATTTAATGTTTTGTTTAAACGTTGAACACATTGAAGCCTACATAGAAATATATTAATTTTATAGTAACATGCAAAAAGCCTTTGACCGGTACATAAGTTAACTTTCTAGAGGATGATAGAATGAGATCTACATATAACTATGTAAATTACAAAATCGATCGATATCAGTGCCTGTAACGAGGCAATAATTCCAAACGTCGAAGTTGAATGATAAAGCAGTACCTGCAGCGAAGTCATTCAAAATGATTGACTCGATGTCAATCGAATGGAAAATCTTCGATCGATCCTCAGATGCCATGTCGAGAAGTCAAAACCATCATATTTCGATGATCTAGAGAGATTTCTGCGCATGGAATAGAACAAAATCGATTTGGACATTCCAAATTTGTTTAATACGAAGGGAAAGAAGATTAAATATTAGTTGTGATACTTTTTATCATGCCTTATCTATGTATTTTTATTACATTCATTATGAAAAATATGAATATAAACTAAGACTAAAGACGAATAAGAACGATTTAGTTTCAGCTTAGAGAAAATGATGCTTGAATCTATTTATATTTAATGTACAACTTTGTTAAATTCTTCTTTATTAACTATCATGTCTGAATTTTACATAATCTTAGTAAATTTTTATTTTGTTAGTTTTAGTTATACGAGGGGCTTGTCAGATAAAAAAATAATTGAATTCATAGGCATTTAGCGAGTGGATATAAATTTTATGTCAAATTAAGAACTATTAAAACAGAAGGACATATAAAAATTAAACTATAAACATCAGTAGTCTTATCAAAAACATAATAAATTGAAGGCCATATTCATATAGGACTATGTTTATAGGCGTTATTTATTAGCAAGGACACTATTAGAACTTATACTACAGTGTAATAAACAATGGGTGCGTGTCGAAATTCTATCCTTAAAATAGAAGAGTTAATTAAATGATTTAATCTAAACTACCATTAAAAATTTAAATTAATTGTATTCTCTACATGCATATAAAACTGCTAAGGTCTTTTGCTAATCTTAACATTTATACATAGTCCTTCATTATTCCATACTTTAATTTAACTATACATAATTTCTAATGTTCAGCTTAAACTTTACCATTCACTATTAATATTTCCCGTATCAATACCATGAAGAACATCATCAATAGTTGCATTTTTATTCTTATTATTATTTTTTGCTAATAATTGAAGTAAATGTCGCATGGCCACGTCATAAGTAATTTGTAATGATTTATCAAGTAATTGAAATGGCCGTGTCATTGTTGTTACATTCGATGAATTTCGTGAATGTTGTTCATGATTATTAATAAGTTTATTTTCTTTTGTTTCTTTAGCAAAAAATTTATTAACAACATTAACATCGAATGATAAATTACTTAATAAAGAATTTGTTGAATTTGCTGATGATTGTGTCCATATACTAGCTTCATTGTATTTAAAATTATAAAGTGGTCTTGCTCGAATTTTTGCATATTTATAATTTGTATGATCAAGTAATGGTGATGGTGTTTGATGAGGAAGATAAAAACTATTATCACTACTACTATTACTACTAGTACTTAAACTTGTATGTGTACGTTTTTTTGTATTAAGAAGTGCAATAAAATCTTGAAATGATGGTGGAGCAGGTGTAGAAGAATTGTTATTCGTGGAGGCGGGTAAATTTTCTAGAAGATTACGTTGTTTCACTATACGAGAGCCTAAATAGAAGAAAAAAAATAAAATAATTCGATAGATATGATTAACAATGAAAAAGAAAGAATATAAATAAATGTTTACCATCAAAACCCATCGCCCAATCGACCACATTGACCGAAGAGCTAGAGTAGTTCGGCATGTTTATGCAAATAAGTAGTGCTATATAAACGTTAGTGAATCAAATGAAAGAAATAATGACCTTAACGTTAGTTATAGTTGTTCTTGTGCGTCTTATTGAAGAGAAATCGATAAATAAAAATGATTTTTTCTACTAATAAAAGCGAAGAACAACGTGTATGTGTGACGAAATTCGAATGAAAAATAAATATGTTCATGAATAGTAAATAGAAACATTTAATAGTGATTAAAACGAACGAAAGAAAGAAGAAAATTTTCTCTAGTTAATCGGAAAGAAAATAATATTTCTTGGCACGAGATCAACGAGTTAAAATATAACCAGACGAAATGGACTATGACCTCATGGAAATTATCTACTGCCAAGAATTTATTTCTTAAAATATAATCTTCTGCAATGAATGTAATCATAGAAAAAACCTTTATGATCAATCGAATATTCTTTACACAGAAATTCTTCTATCTTCATATATATACGAGATCGAAATTTTTATTTCTTTGACTATTAAGGACATCTGTTTAAAAAAGATTTATTTAAGAAGAAAAACTATTAGGTGATTATATGAGAATAATTTTTAAATATAATTTTTTTAATAATTCTTATAAATAAATGAGAAATGAATTAAAACCAGCGTTTCATTCGATTGTAAACAAAATCCAATGAAAATCTGCAACGGACTATATTGGCATATTTTGTCAAAAAAAAAAGAAAGTAATTATATTTAAATTGAACAATTGCAATGAGACAATTGGTGTGTGTCGTTTTTGTCTGTTTATGCACGATTTTGAGCGTTCTCAGTAAAGAGGTTAGTTATTTTATATATTAATATTCAGGTTTATTTAAATTATTCTAATATATATTAGAATCCTCTATCGGACAAAATTCAACAATTAACAGAATTATCATTGAAAAAAGCTGTGATTCGTTTAAATGCTGAACGTTTTAAACATTTTGTTCGAACACCACCAAGAAATTATTCTATGATAGTCATGTTAACAGCATTATCTCCACAAAGACAATGTCCTATGTGCAAGTAAAGAGAAATTAAATATTCTTTCTTTTTCTTTCATTTCAAAATATTTTGTCTTAGACAAGCACATGATGAATTTCAAGTAGTTGCAGAAAGTTATCGACATTCCAATGCTTTTTCAAATAAACTCTTTTTTGGTATGGTTGATTTTGATGAAGGAGCTGAAGTATTTCAATACGTAGGTATTTTATTCTTGTATAAAACAAATATTCATTTTTTTTTCTCTACTATATTAGTTAAAATTGAATTCAGCTCCAGTATTTATGCATTTTCCAGCTAAAATGAAACCAAAAAAAGGTGATCAAATGGATATTGGCCGGTAAGTTAAAAATATCAGTAATCCAATTTATTACTTTCTTCATATATTTAGTACGGGACTTTCCGCTGAACAAATGGCAAAATGGGTTAAAGATCGGACTGAAATTCAAGTAAGTTAATCGATATATATTAAATATTAGACATGTATATTTCAAACGATGTATCAAAACAGTTGAGAGTTACATAATCAAATCTCTTACTATGTAGTTATAATTGCGTTATTTTCAAATGAATTATGAAGAGAGCACTTAACTGAATATAGAAAAGACAAGTAGATAATGTAATTCTGATTTGTATTCTATTTAGATTCCAATATATCGCGCACCAGATTATTCCAAATTTGCTTTTGTGGCATTATCGTTAATAATGATTGCTGGTTTAATTTATGTCAAACGTGATAGTCTTGGAATTCTTTATAACAATTTTGTTTGGGGAATATTTGTAATCGTAAGCATATCTTATTTATTCATTATCATCATCAACTTTTAATATAATTATCTATCGAATGAAATTAAGAAAAGAAATAGTATCAGAGAAATTTAATGTACATATATACATATATTTCTAGTTCTTTATTTTAATTTGTACTTCGGGACAAGTTTGGAATAATATACGTGGTGCATCTTTTGTTCATCGTGATCAAAAAACAGGACAAATTGTAAGTGTGCTTATTTATTTTAGGGTGTTGTATGTTATTTTATCTCTGGACAAACATGGAATCTTATTAACGGACCACCATTTGTGTCCAATCGTAAAAATGAAATGGTAAAGTAATTACATGCGTGTATGACCAAAATGGAAATCAATAATTTTTTTTTTGAAATATGATTTTTCAGGAAATATTTGCTGGTGATTCGAATATGCAATATGTAGCCGAAACATACATAGTTTGTAGATAAATATTATAAATTAACATTAACAATATGTATATTGGAAGTTGAAATAGGCAATTCATTATATAAGATATATATATATACACGCATGTAATTCTTTACTAGCCAATTTTGCGTCTTTGTTTTGATAAAAATTAATTGAAATAGTTATCATTTTCTTGTTTATTAATTGCAGGGTTACTTCAGTGGTAGTTCAGGACATCAATTCATAGCTGAAACCTATATCGTAAGGCATTTTTAATGCGATATATATATATATAAACTTGAATTGCCTATTTTCTATTCTTCTGATCACTATTGTTTTTGTTATACTCACTTTATAAATTTATGCTTAATTAATTTTCTTTTGTTTTTTGTTTAGGTCTTCTTACTCTATATCCTTTTTCAAAACAATGTTTTGTATATATATATATAATTTCTTTTAGGGAAAAAATTATGGTTAATTATCCTTAATTCTTTTTCTTTTTCTTTCTTTACATTTTGGAGTTTGTACTGGTATGATATTTTTAAATGAAGCACCGAAAATAAGATCTCGAACTGGAAAACGAAAAGGTTATTGAGAAAAATATATACAAAATCAAATAAATTAAATTAATTTTTTTCAGCAATGTTGGCTGTCGTTGGTATTGTAATGGTTATCCTTTTATTCAGTTTTTTACTTTCCATTTTTCGTGCAAAATATCAAGGCTATCCATATAGGTCTGAACATATTTTCCTTTTCTATACATCTTTAAATTCATATAAAATTTGTTTACTTTTTTTTAGCTTTTTGATCAAATGATGATATTCATATTGTGATAATTTTTAGCAACAATAACCTTTCCTTATATAAAACGATACAAATGGGATAATAGCATTTTATTTCAAGCATATAGAACCTCTCATAATCATTGTTGTTGGTACAATCTGCTTATTCATTTAACCGTAGTTTTATTCTGCTATTTTATAAAAGAGTAACAGATAAAATTGTCTTTCTTCTTCTTGTTGTCACTTTAAAAAAAACGTATTGAAACATTAAAAAAAAAAGTATATATATATATAACTTTATATGTTGCTTATTGTTATTCGATGTATCTTTTTATTAGATAAATGATCATATCAGATTACTCTTTAGCAATATATAACAGATACTTAAGTTAATATTTCAAGGAAAAACAACAAAATTTTCTTTTTGAAATAATACCAAACAAAGTTTCAAATTACACGGAATAACAGAATATTTAAAAAAAAATCAATTTCGATTCCTTTGCCTTGTTCAGAAATATATTATATCATTGGAATTTGTCTCCTATCAAAGAATGTATAAACGAAGAAATAATAAGAAAAAGAGAAGGAATGATATTCTCATTCTTCAATGTATCATCATTATGTATTCATACATATATATATAAAGGACTATTAGAAAATGGAAAGATATGATTAATTTGATTTATAAATTGCGTTTTGAATATATATGAATGATTAGATAGAAAAATGATGACTACACGATACGAAATGTTTATAATTAAAATATGAAGGTGATTTGAAAAAAATATTTAGATCCGAAAGGAAAATGAACGTTTCTCTTTTTATTCTGATCAAATGTATTAGGAATTTAATTATATATTTTCAATGAATATATAGTATTATTAATGAATAGAAATAGTCAATATAGAATTTTTATCAAAATTTGATCTGTATTTTAAACCCTAACAATGGAATACAACGTAACGTGACGGCCTTGGATTAAAGTTTATTGTTATAGACTATAAACAGAATTTCTACCGGAAAAATTCTTCTTCTTGTTTATCCCTATTTCAATATTAATCGTTTTTCCTACATGTTCTATATGCAAATCTAATAAAATGTTTATCGAATAAACTATAATCAATTTTGCATTTATATATTCAACAAAACTAAAAACATTTTTCTTATTTTCGATAAAATCCGCAACAACAGTTGGACCTAAACATAATCCTGAGGATATATATTTTCTTTTCTATATTTGATTATCTTGATGTGATCCATTAGATCGTAAACAAGTTGGGTAAACAGAAAAACACTAATTATTCTTGAGATTCTTATTTTCTTCTGTATTAATGTTATTATTTGTTCTTTCTTTTTTTTTTCTATTAAATAAATAAAGAACTCTACATAAAACATCCTTCGTTAAAAGTTATATTCTGTCTAGAGATTATTGATATTCGCTTTATTCCCGATTAATTGATTGTAATGAAATGATCTGATGATCTTGACGCAACCGGAAACAAAATGAGTTACAGTTGATTGTTTATATAGAAGAAATATACATATTTGTCTTCTTCATCTTTATATTGTATAGCGTTTATTTTTCCATTAGCGTGACCCTTTTCGTTCTCTGCGTTAAAGGAATAGAACAAAAATGCGCAAGAAAAAAAACATGCGGCTTTTTTTTTGGTTCTGCGGAAAAAAAACCTCATTTTGATATCTTTATCAAGTGGGTAGTTGCCTATTTTTTTGCCTTTCTCGTTGCTTCTGTTTAGCATATTTATAGAATAAGTATTTCCCACTAGAGATTGTCTAAATCGATCTCTAAAGAACAAAAATAGTTGATATACAAGACAGATTTTTGTTATGATTTATGTTATAATTAATAATTAAGAAACACTGATACATCAATAAACGAAAGAAAACGATTGTGCGCTGTATTATAACACAATACAATTCATTTGGTAAGTTGATCATTTATTTTATATTTCAAAAATCTTTTCGATTAGTTGCATACATACAAAACGAATGAGAATGAATATGTAAATCGAACGAAATGAAGCGTATATAAGACCGTATCTTTGTAATGTACCATCCAATTGAACTATTAGATAAAAAGTAGAGACATAAGATTTGCTTATATATACTCTTTGTATGACTAGCGTAGATTGACAAGGTTATTTTTATTTCAAGTACAATTCTTTCATGTATTTACATACAAGGATTCTTGTATATATATATATATGACAGGGGTAACGAAAGAAAAGTATCCTTCTTTCTTTAAAAACATACATAAATGCACTTGAAATGTGTACGATCAGTTAATACTAATCTAATGTTTGACAAAATTAGTTCGAATAGTTTTGATAGGATTAAATATACCTTCAATTATATTCGCTATTGACAACTATATTTCTCAATTAGATTGCACTATATCGAGAAATTCTATCTGTTCTTTTATCTAATATCTATCTGATAATAATGTTCGACACATTGAAAAAGTAAAAAAAAAAAAGAACGCCTCAAACCATAGTAATTCAGTTTTTTATAACTCGAAAAATATTTTGTGAAGTGAGCACGCAAAGTAAAACTTTATGATAGCAAAAAAAAATCTACCAAACATAAGACATTGTTTTTCAAGGTTGAATAATGATGACAAGAAAAAAAATGGCATTACTATTATCGGTTAGAACAGTAGCCAGTTATGAATGATATCGCTGTCAAGGTTAAAAATTTACAGACTAAGTCTAACAGATTGATTAATGTTCTATCAGATATATGAAGTTTGTTGTTTTCTTATTTAATTATTTAACAAGGAGAAAATATTATTAATCAATAAAATCTAATGACAAATAAAAAAAACATGTCGTTTTATATATATATATATATATATATGTATTTCTTCATCAGGTAGATAACATAGCAGTTGCTTTCAATATTCAAACATAAATTGTTAGTTCCGTTGACAGTTATCCATTATCATTCCATTAACATTCACCATATGTGCTCAACCTCGTTCTTGTTAGAAAACAATTAAGCTATTAATTAAAACAATTTTGTTCTATATTTTCTCTTGAGTATAAACTTATCTATATATATATATATATGATATAATGTAGTAGTTCTATGTCGATTTCATTCAAGAGATGATTCACAATAGACAGTGATGTAACATAGCCTAACAAAAAAAAGGAGAGTCAATCTAAGTAGTTCGTTATCAATCTGCTAAACCGATAACTGTATTATCCTTGTAAAACAAGGCTGTTAGGTTCTTCCTGTTGATTATGCAATTGTCGTCTTTTTTTTCTCACTCCATTTGTTACGATTGACTATATTTTAAGATCGATTCGTATACACACACACACACATATATACACGTATATATATATATAGATGAAGAGAGAATAAGTGAGATCGAATGGCAACTGCTGGCATTTGAAGAAAAAATTTTTTTTTTTTTTATTGTATAGAAGAATAATAGAAACTGAAAGTTCGTTTATGTTCTATAGAGACAGTTTGCTTGTGTGTACACAGAAGAAAAAGCGTCCAGTATTTTTCTTTTGTGTTGATAGAACATCGTCCTATTGTATAGATTTCTTGTATATACATATTCGATTACAAAACTAAATGTGTTGATTACTACAGACTAGTCAATGATTGATGCTTAATGATTGCATTAGAAAAGAGAATGATATCATAAAGACATCAGAAGAATTTAGTGAGTAGAAAAAAGAAGAAAGAAGATATTTTTTAAAGAAATATGTACTTCACATTTTTTTTTCGGTTATGATGTTATTTATCATCAAATTGTTCTCCTTGAAATGTGTAAGTATATACGTTCTAAATATCTTGATAACAAGTAAAAATCTAGTGGTATCATATCATCACGTCCGTATTCACCACAAATCAATGATTGATATATACACATACAAATAAATTCACCAATTTCTTCTCTTTTTTTTAGATCAGTTTTAGTCTAGTCAGTATTCATCAAACATGACTTATATATTCTATATTCTTCTGTTTATTGTTATATTCATAACATGTGTGAGAACAAAACCATGCGATATTCTTGAGAATATGTCATGTGAATGTCATTCATCATTCAATGGTGAAACTGAACAATTAATATGTAATAATCATAATAATCTATTAAATCAAACAATAAAATTAAAAAATCAAACTAAGCAAATTGGTCAATCATTTGATACATTTCATTTAACATTTTATGATAAAGAAATTACTGTTTATCCAATGTTTATTAATGATTTATCATATTTATTTCCTCGATTATTAACTATAGGCAAACGAAAATCAACATTAAAAATTACATTATCATTTCATAATTTTCAGAAATTAAATTTTCAAGATTATTCTTTTTATCAATTATTTGGTGATAAATCTGATTATACAACAAAGTTTTCATTAGAATTAACATCTAATGGTCAAGTAACATTTTCACCAATGGCATTTAATCAAATCATAGTTGATCAAATGTATATGCATAGTTCATCATTAGACCCATATTCATTTGAAGAAATCTTTAACAATACAAATATTGGTGAATTAACAATTGAAGGTAAAATAAACAAAATAATTCTGTGTTATTATTATTATTATTATTATTCTTTAGGTTTTACACCTCGAAGCAATGATACACAAAAGATAAATTTTAATGGTAAAATTCGCTCAGCTAAATTTACTAAAATGGTTGAAATGGTATCAAATGATGAATTTCCTAATTATCCAGTACGTTCAATGATTATTGAAGCGCATGAAGCAAGAAGAATAAATGCATCATCATTTATAAATTATCGAAATTTATATGGTGTTCATTTAATTCGACCAAATTTTTTCTTTGATAATCGTTCATTTGATGGTTTTCAATTTTTAACTAGTCTGGAAACAATAGAACTTGATGCGGAAACACTTAAAGGTATTTCTCAAAAATGAAATATATTGTGTTTTTATTTATTTTTTCTTTAGATCATACATTTCAGCATGCATCACGTATTCGATCTTTGACTCTTGGTCAAAATACTCGTCGTTTAACTAATCATTCATTAGATCATTTAGATTATTTAACACGTTTTGATGCATCAAAAGTAACTCTTGATCACTTAAATCCAACATCAAGATGTGTATTAGCACGTTATATTGAAAAACAACAAAAAACAAATCCATCTATGATTATTTTACCACCACAAGCTGAATATTGTGATTGCATTCATGATTTTATTTTAACAATATTAGATAAAAAACCTGATCAATCCTATTCAGATAAATGTTCAGATAATCAACAAGAACGTTGTCAATTAAGTGAATGTAATATTGTGAAGAATTTTCGTTTACCATTAAAGAAAAAAATAGATCATGAACAAATTGTTGTATCTCTTGATGAGGGTATAATTGATACACCATATCACTTATATCCAACGGAGGATGATAGAACAACAACTCATCGAATACCATCTTATGTTCATCGACATCCAGCTGTTGATCATTCATCCCATACAGATACTCAGGTAATAAATAATTTAGTTAGTAAAATTGAAAATATCTTTCTTATTTTTTTTAAGGATTCACAAACATCAGCACTTATAGCCAATGAACCAATTGATCCAAATGCAATTCCAACAGAAGATTATGATCAAAATCCCGATCCATCATCAATAACAGATAATTCAGAAATAAAACCAAAAGATCGTTTTAATGAACGTCGTACAGCAATGGACAATGAAAGATTAAAATGGATAGCATTAATATTAGTATGTATTACTGTATTATGTCTTCTTATTGTTGGGTTAATAATATGGTTTTTTACTTGTCGTCCAACGCATCGTGTTAATAAAGCAGGATTTCAACCAGTTTTACCAAATAGTTCAAATGTTTAATTCATTGTTTTCTATTTATGTGTAATCTTGTTGTAGGTCTTTCAGCAAAATAACAAACGAACTATAAAATATTATTTCTTTTTCTCTTTGTTTTTTCCTCTTTTTGAAAGTTTATCCGGTGAAAAAAAAGATTTTTCTTCATTTTTTTTCTCGCGCTCTCTCTCTCTCTTTATATTATTGCATTATTTGATGAATAGCAATGTTTATACAAATGGAATATACCCACTGCAAAATTTTGATGAAGAACAACGATAGTTATTGATGACCTTGCTTCGTATGGGAACAATTACAGATGGATGACGTGCGTATGTTCCTTTTATATTCTCGTCATTTAGTCAATTCAGGGATAATGTTCATTAAAACAAACAGATATATGCATACCATATATTTAATGTCCATCAACATTCCCATTAATTGCACAATTAATATAGAGTATTATATGAAGAAGAAGATATTTCAATAAGAAACAAAAGATTTTAAAAAAACAACATAGAAGTATATAATGCTGTAGTAAATCTCTATATAATGTATTCAATTTCCTTATAATTGTTCGTTTGTTCATTTTTTTGCGCATGAATCTTTTTTTTTCTTCTTTATTGTTTTTATTTCAATAGTATAGATTATTGGACTCACATATACTATTTTCTTTTTAGTTCCTTTATACACATATATGTGTTCGTTTTGTTATGTATTTGAATATATTTCAAGAATATGAATATCATCTGTTGTCATTTTTGGCATTGTTGGTTTCAGTTTTGGATATAGAATTGTTTGAGGATCTCTTCGTTGATAATCATTAATCATATTTTCAAATTCAAAAAACATACATTTTGAAGGTAACATTTTATCTAATGATACAGATTCAGAATGTAAATTATTAGTTTGAGCTCGACTAGCAAAGTCAGGTAGAGGTACAGGTGGTTTCTTTGTACCAGTGACATGATTTGCACTAGGAGATATAGCAGAATGTAATACTGCATAATCTTGTGACATTGATGATATTTCTCTATCTTGATCTTGATTAACAGAGCTAGGTAAAGGTACAGGTGGTTTCTTTGTACCAGTAAGATGACTTGCATTGGGAGATATAACAGAATGTAATACTGCATAATCTTGTGACATTGATGATATTTCTCTATCTTGATCTTGATTAATAGAGCTAGGTAATGGTACAGGCGGTTTCTTAAAACCTGTCGCATTGGTGGCACCATGAGATATAATAGGATGTGTTATTGGATCTTGTATATCTTCATTTCGATGTCGAGCAGCAGAAGCAGGTAATGGTACAGGTGGTTTCTTAAAACCTGTAGAATTAGTAGTGCCATGAGATATTGAATCTTGTGAAGCAGTTGATGTTTCTGAATGTGTATCATCATTTTGATGTCGAGTAGCAGAACTAGGTAATGGTACAGGCGGTTTCTTTAAACCTTGAGACATCGTAGAATCCTGAGTGATAGATGATGTCCCAGAATGTATATCTTCATTTCGATGTCCAATAGCAGAACTAGGTAATGGTACTGGTGGCTTCTTGAAAGGTGTACCACTGTTTATATTGTGTTGAAGAATATGAGCCAGCTTTGTACCATATGACGATGACACTTCATTCGATGCTTGTGTTGATGAAATAGTAGAATCAGATACCACTGAATATTCATCATCTAAATACAAGGAAGAAGAAACACAATATTATTAATAATTGTAGTTGAGTAGTCCAAGATCAAAATAATTCATCGGTAATGAAGTTGAAATAACAACAATATATTGATTTAAATATATCAGTTCTATTTAAATAGCTGAAAACTTACCAAACGATTGATTGGAACCATTCGATTTTAACTGGTCTGACATTTCTGACATAGACGAATCTCCTGATGACTTAACATTAGTAGGTATTTTCGGTGTACGCAATCCCATTAAAGCTTTTTCATTAAATTTTGCTTTTATTTCAGCAAAACTTGGATTAGCCATTTTAACTCAACAATATATTATTGTACTTGTGAAATAAGAGAAAAAAGGAACAAACAAGTATTTTATATAAAATGACTAACAGAATAACAGAAAGAAACAATTTTCTTTACTATATATAAGTATACTTTTGTTATCAGACTGGTTTTTATGATTACTAAATAAAGAATGATATCATCCAATGTTTGCTTTTTTTATTTATGTTACGAGAAATAATGAATATTATGTGAATTAAATTTAAATTATTGTTGAGTAAATTAAGTTGAGTGAATAAATCATTCGATTCTCAACGACTGTATAGAAAATTATAAAAATACTTGAAATATGTTAAATGAATATAACTCATCAATAAAACAAGAAGAGTATCAATATGAAACTAAGTCAATACAGAGCATCTTTGACAGTTTAATCGCTTAATATCATTTGAATACGATATGATAATCTATTAACTTTTATAAAAGTTCGTTGCAATAAAATTTACTAGATAAATACATTATTATACATATGCATAAATAGCTACGAGAAAAGAAGTATCGTTTTCTTTTGTATCTGACATAGAACAACTTCTATTTAAGAACAATATTCTTGACAAATACATAGTGAAATAGATTTTCTTATAAAAACATTTATAAATGATAGGGTAACAGTTCATGCGAGACACCTAGATGGCGCATTCATACTCATGAACAATTTTAGAAAAAACAATTTCTTATTGGACACAATTTTAACTCAATCCAGGATGCTTTCCTCCTATTAAATAGCGTTGCGTGTCTTGTTTTGTTCTTATATCAAGAGAAGCAAAGCAAAGTGCAAATATAATATCCGTGTGCAGTTAAACTCTTGTGCAAAAATCTCAATGCCTTCTTATTACTTTTTTCTTACTCTTCTCATTTTATTGTATACATTTGATAATATAAAAGTTAACGGTGATGAATTTAAAAGAGAAAAAACACATATGAAAAAAGATCCACGTGATTATACTGATAGAGATGTAGACAGTCTTTTCGAAGAATGGGAGGTAAAATTTAATTATTCTTTATCTTCTAAAACAGTATATATATATACATATATAGGATAATGATGACGATATCTTACCTGAAGATGAACGTCATGATTACTTTATTCGTGGTAAAAATCGTCCTCAATTTCGACCAGAAGATTTTGTCGGTAAACAACCTGAACAAGTTATGAAATTATCAAAAAAAGGACAAACATTGATGATGTTTGCTACTGTTTCGGGTTCACCAACACGAAGAGAAACAGAAGAAATTACTCAAATATGGTGGTGGGGTTTGAAAAATGCTTTATATGATGTTACTCGGTAAATTTATCAATATATAAATAACTGAAATAATTCTAATTTTTCTTCTAAGACATGTTATTAATGATGATCGTATATTGCTTGTTTTAAATGATGGTTCACAAGCATTTGAAATCAAAGATTTTCTTGTACAACAGGATCGTTGTAAAGAAGTTACTATTGATAATCGACCTTATTATGGTAAAGGTGCTACGGTATGTTATAATCTATAAATTTATATTTTTATTTTATCTTATTTTATTTTTCATTTTTTGATTAGGCTGCAGATAAAGGTGGCAAAAAGGAACTCTGAACAATGTTTACTCTTTTTACAATCTCATATATTAACTATCTTTGTTATTTCTAGTCTTTAATACTAATTAGTTGGTTTCTTAATAGTTACGAAGCATATTGTCTGTAAACTGTGATTGTAATTGCAATTGTCTTTCTTCTTAACTGCTATAAATTATTTTTTTTCTGTGATTTTACTAATTTACACGTGATTAATTATACTAATAAATAAGCGCATCATATCTGTAGTAGACAAAAAAAAAATTTTTTTTAATATAATATTTATTTTATATAAACATTAGATAATTATTCAATTAATATTCAATGAAAAAGAATTATGAATCAATATGGAATTTTGAAGAGTAAGTTTATTTGAAGCTGTAATATAAAAACTACTATTAAGATAGGAAATTTTATTGCTGTTCCAAGTTTAGTACTAGTAATTCAGAATAGAATGGTATGATTTAATCATACGAAAAAGCAAGGCATTAGACAGAAGTATCTGTACAAGAAATAGAATGAATAAAAACTATATCTAAGTCAAAGTTGGTTGTCAGCAAAGGATACGAAATCGTAATAATAGCAATGTAACAATACCAATATGGTATTATTAATGGAATTGATATAGGTATCAACTACAAAAAACCTTGTCATATATGTGTGAATATTTTCATAATACTTTTGACATTATTTGATGAGAAGATCAAGCATTATAGATTTGTATAACAATCTTTAAAGGTTGTGCAAGATTTCACTTACGAGGGAACGTTGTCAGGTGTTGGTCTCGGATTTCAATTATTTTCCGGCCCATTAGTACTATATAGTGCCCTAATAAAAACCCTAAAAGAATTTGAGTTGTTATTCATTCCTTCAAAGGTTATGGCCATTTTACTGAATTTTCGACCTGGTCCTGGGTATAGATCGGAAAAAGCTAACTAACGAATTTCGACTTGAAATTTCGCCCATAGATAGATATAATGATCCTAAGAATATCCTGAAAATTTCAGCCAAAAAGAATCTTCCGTTATCGAGATATCGAATTTCCAAGTGAACTCGGTTCCTATGACCTATCTACGGCAAGCGAGTATATTTTAAAAATTCGATATCTCGATAACGGAAGATTCTTTTTGGCTGAAACTTTCAGGATATTCTTAGGATCATTATATCTATCTATAGGCGAAATCTCAAGTCGAAATTCGTTAGTTAGGCTTTCTCGATCTATACCCAGGGCCAGGTCGAAAATTCAGTAAAATGACCATAACCTTTGAAGGAAGGACTATCAACTCAAATCCTTTTAGGGTTTTTATTAGGGCACTACATAGTACTTATGAGCCGGAAAATAATTGAAATCCGAGACCAACACCTGACAACGTTTCCTCGTTAGCTTTAATAACAGTCTCGTTAACCTTTTTTAAGAGCATCACATCTATCGTGCAATATTCTAACTGATACATGGTTGCGTAGATAAAAAGTTCAATATACTAAGGTGCTAAACTATACTTTTTTCATGAGATTAATCAACCCATCAATTTTGTTTTTAAATAGATGTTTGATAGAGAAGGAAGCGTGCTTCATTTTTCAGTCCAGTCAATCAGTACCCGCAGCATGCGTCCTAACCTTTTAACTATAGAATCATATTTCATTACTTATGTGAGCTCGAATTCTTTTTATACATCACTAAGTAATAATTGCTAACACTTATCTATGATTTTTCTTTACAAATAAAGTCAATCACTTATTTTTATTTCTTTATCCCACTTCATATTAGTAAGTACTAGTCTATAGTAAAAATCAAAGATAATTTTCTTAATCTCCAATAGATTAAGATAGATATGCTTAAATGTCAAAAGAAGAATATCTATCTTTCATACCATAGGATTCTATTTCTACTTCCAATTCATTCTACAAATGAAAAAATAACAAGTAAAAACAATTCAATTCTTATTAAAACACCTTCTTTTTGTGAAATAGTAATAACATAAAAATTTTAATGGATATAAAATCAAGTAGAAAAAAGAAAACGTTGAGAAATATTTTGCTTTGTTTTTCTCATTTCCATGGATGCATTTACATCTTAAAGCAATTTTCTATAAATTTTAGTTGCGCTATATAAAAATCAATTGTTAATAATACCTGTATTTTGAATAGTTAAGTATACGCTTGTACTTTTTTCTAAATATGACCCTGAAAATGTATAGTTTAACTTACATTATGTGTGTATATATAAAAAAAAGATCATTAATATTTCATAGGAAAGAAAAGAAAAAGTTTTTTTTTGCATAAGAAAATGTTCGCTCTTTTCTCTATTGACGTAAAATTAATGTTACGTGATAAATACATACTAAACTGCTTTTTTTGATATTTAGTTATTGTATATATCAAATATTTTGATATCAACTAAAAATTAGAATTCATGGATATTAAACAAGTAAAATAATATTTATCTCAAAAATAAAAATCAATTCATTCTTCTTTTTTTTGAATTTTAGAAGGATGATTATCGTCTAAGAAGTTATATATTTACTTTCTGTAATTATTTTATTATAGCAATACATCATTTGTTTGTTAGTATTCTTTTATTGATACATATTCTAACAACTATTTGGTATTTACAACAAATATGGTCAATAAATGATGATACTCATTATAAAATGAGTTTAATAACAAACAAATTTACTTATTCAATTCGATCGTTATTATTATTATTTTATTTACAATAGTAAAAAAAGAATATTTCTATACATTTTTTTTGTTTATGATCATGTGCGATTTTTTTTGTATGATAAAGTATTTTATTTGAAAACCAATATTTTAGATTTATTTTTTTTTAAAATGGCAACGAATAAACGAACATCTTCTTCATCAATAAATGATGATAGTGAAACAAAAAAATTTAAAATAGATGATAATCTATCAACTACTAGTAAAGAATCAATACCGGCGTTTATTAATGAAAATATTACAAATAAGAAATTATGTGAATATGGTGCAGCATGTTATCGACAAAAAAATCCAATACATACAGCTGAATATGATCATCCGCGTAAATTATTTTCTTATACGAAAAGATTTTTTTGGGAAAGAATCTCAACTATTTAATTAAGTTTCAGTTCAGAAAAGTTTTGATGTAGATTTTTAATATCTGTCATTATTTTTTTATTGATTCTGAAATTGCACTTTTTATTATTTACATTAATCTTAAGTAAAAAATTGCGTCCTAGACTAGATGAAGGTTATGCAAATAGTAAACGTCTTTTCAGGAGTTATTTTTATTGGTCCAATTTTATTTATTTTTACATTGTTTATCACTCACATCATGTGTTTTTAACATTCAAATATTATTATACTAAATGACATGAACATTTCACAAATATATATATCAAAAGAAAACAAAACGATCATTCAACTAATTTTTGCTTGTTTTGTTATTGTTTCTATTGCTTATCAGTGTTTATATAATAAATAATTTATGATATAGAACTCTTATACATAAGTATTTATGTTGAAGTGTTTTTCTTACAATATAATTGATATAGGATATTTGAAATAACAGCAAACAATTGCATTTATGCAAGTCCCTTTTCTTTAGAAATGAAAATAATTAAATAGTTGAGATTTTTTCAATTAATAAATCGTTTAAAAACTTTCATTATTTTAGCTGCGCGAGAAAAATCATCAACAAATGAAAGTAACAAACGTTTGACGCCAATTGAAAAAATTCAACAAAGTGAACCATATCGATTTTTTCTTTCGACTGTCTATGGAATATTGGATACTTACAACCAAATAAATGCTATTAGTCTTAAAGGTATATGAAATTAATAAATTATTTTCTCTATATCAAAATTTCTTATTTTCTATACTTAGAAATTCTTTCTCCGGAACATGGTCAACTTGTACGTTCCGCTCAATTCAATTATATGTTTGATATTGAATTTTTACGTGAACAATATCCACCAGAATTTCGGTATGATTTTTGAAATGTCCAAATTTCGTCATTGATGAGTGTCCCATAATTTTAGACTTAAACCATTATTAATTGTTCATGGTGATTCACGACATGATAATCATACAATAAAAGCTCAATGTTCACCATATCCACAAATTGAAGTATGTGCCGCTCGTCTTGATATACCGTATGGAACACATCATACTAAAATGATGTTTTTATTATATGAAACTGGTTTACGTATTGTTATTCATACAGCAAATCTTATTCAACAAGATTGGAAACAAAAAAGTCAAGGGTAAGTTGATGAAATATTTTAACTGAAAAAATATTTTTCTTTTATACATAATTATATAGTATATGGATTAGTCCAATTTGTCCTAAAACAAATGACAATACAAATGAATCGAAAACAAATTTTAAAAAAGATTTAATTGAATATATTGAACGATATCGTGCTAAACAATTACAATTCTGGCAAAAAACTATTAATGAACATGATTTTAGTAGCATAAAGTATGTTGAAAGAAAATGATTATTTAAAAAAAATAATTCGTTTGATTTAGTGTTCATCTAATAAGTTCAACACCTGGTCGTCATACAGGAGGAGATATGAATAAATTCGGTCATTTAAAACTACGTCAAGTAAATATTTAATAAGAAATACAAATATTTAATGATTTATTTAGACTTTAAAAACTTATCTTGGTCTGGAAAATGAGGCACAATATAATTCAGCACCAATTATTGGACAAGTAATTTATTTATTCTTCTGATATTCAAAAAATATCATTGAAATATTTTATTTTAGTTTTCAAGTATTGGATCATTAGGTCCAAATGCAAATAATTGGTTATCAAAAGAATTTCTTACATCTCTTAAACAACTTCATTCATCTTCATTAGATTCTCCAGAATTAAAATTAATCTATCCAACTGTTGACAATGTTCGTACATCTTTAGAAGGTTATATGGCTGGCGGAAGTTTACCTTATGTAAATTTTTCGATATTTTTTTATTTTCACAAAATAAATATTTCTAATTTAGAATGTGCAAAATGCAATGAAACAAGGTTGGCTTGTTAATTATTTTCAGTAAGTTTGTGAAAATTTTCTTTTTTGTTTAATGAATGTTTTTGAAAAATTTTTAGTAAATGGAAAGCAGATCATCGTCAACGTAGTCGAGCTTCTCCACATATTAAAACATATTTACGAGCAACAAATGATGAATATAAAGAACTTTTGTGGTTTTTAGTTACTAGTGCAAATTTATCGAAAGCTGGTAAGATTAGTTTTATTTTTTTTTATTAATAGATTAATTTATAAATTTTTATTATCCTAGCATGGGGTGTTTTGGAAAAGAATAATACACAATTAATGATTCGATCGTATGTACATTTTTATAAAAATATCTAAAGATAAATTCTCTTTTGTTAGATATGAAATTGGTGTTTTATTTATTCCAAAACAATTTTCTCAAACGACGTTTTCTGTATCTGATTCATCATCATCGCCATCATTTCCTATTCCATATGATTTACCACCAGTCAAATATCAATCATCAGGTATGTTTGATTGAATACACATTCCGTGAATTATTTTTCTTTCATAGATAAACCATGGGTAGTCGATGTTGCATATAAGAATCAACCGGACTCACATGGAAATATGTGGGATCCAAGTGACTAGTCATATACATTGTTAAAAATCTTTTGTAAATTTCTTTATATATATTAAAATAATCAAGATTAAGATGTTTATTAATAAATATTAAATTAGATATTCTTCTCAAGCATTTTATCTTATTTTTATTATCATAGACTAAAAACAAAAAAAGATATTTATATGTCCAGTGTTACTGAAAAAATTTTTCTTAATGATGGACCATTTATAATGTAAGAGATAAATAGAAATCATTAGTTTGTTTGTTTTTTTAATCTTATTTACTATTATAGTAAAGTTATCGATGATATTGCTGGAGAACAACTAACAGAAAATGCTTCTTTACGTGTGATATTACAATGGTATGAAAAACATATCTATAGACATTTGTATTTACCACTTTTTCAAACAGATTCAAAGACAACAATTAATTGTGTATGTATTGATTTTGAATGTAAAGTTAGACAAAGATACTATATAACCATTATTTTATAGTCTCATAGTGATGCTTTATTAGCGGCTATTGAACTTTTGTATAATATAGAAAAGACAACCGCTAATGTATATCTATCACAAACAGCAAGCTTATTTCCTTTAAGTAAGTATTATTTAGTTGTATATTTTTAATAATGTCTTGCTGAGTAATTAGAAAATAGTACATTACTATAGACATGATTTGAATGTTTAATTTAAATTCAATGAGAGTTTGAGAATTAAATAGTTCGCAAGAAATTAATTGATTATCTCAATATGTACCGAATTAAACTTTATAAATACTTAATCAATAAAAACAGTGTACTGACAGTACAAAAGATATTTAATTAAGAGCATGAAGTCAATATTCTAATATTTAGAAAATTATTCATTCACTCATCAAACATTATTATTAAGTTATGAATCATGGACACATACACTACGTGATCTTTCAACTTATTCTTCATATGCAATAGATGGTTGTCATTTACGTCTTCTATTTATAATATATCAACTTCTTAAAATCATTGCATTTATTCATCAACATGGTTTAAGTTGTGGTCCAATTCAATTAACAGATATTCATATAAATGAACGATATTGGATTCAATTAAAACCTCGTTTTCAATCTTGTTTAGCATCTATTGAATTCGTTTCTAATGGTAGTCATAATAATACTGATGATGATTATCATATTTATCCATCATCAACATCAAATTCACGTAAAAATAGTGTAACACCTGCGACTGCATCAACACAAAAAACTCGTTTAATCAGTCAAAATGAGGAAGCATCCGTTATATCAACAAGAACAACAAAATTCTCCCCAACAACATTAACAATACTTTCACATTCACCTGTTTATCATGTTGAACATCGTTATGAAACATATTGTCAAACACATATTGATATTGTTGAATTAATAAAAGAATGGCAACTTGGACATATATCAAATTTTGATTATTTATTAATATTAAATGCATTAGCTGGACGAAAATTTCATGATCCAAATAATCATTTAATATTTCCATGGATAAATGATTTTACAAGTTCAACGTATAATCTTCGAGATTTATCACAATCAAAATATCGTTTAAACAAAGGTTTGTTATTCATTTACCCAAACGCCCTTATCATTAATTATGAAGTCATATGTATCTATTTGTTATCTAGGAGATGCACAACTTGATTTAACATATAATTATTATTCAACATCAATATCATCAACAACACATATTGTACCACATCATTTAAGTGAACATCTTTCATCAATAACATATTATGTTTATAAAGCACGTCGAACAGAAAAACGTATTTTATGTGAAGTATGAAAGAATAAATTTTTCTATTAGGAAATTATTGATTCTGTCTTAAGAATGTTCGTGCAATTTGGGTACCAAATGAATATCCATCATCGATAGGACGTTTATATTTTTGGACACCTGAAGAATGTATACCAGAATTTTTTTATGATCCATCTTTATTTCAATCAATTCATGATGATTTATCAGATTTACTTGTACCAGATTGGTGTTCAAGTCCAGGTAGAAAAAAGATTTTTTTCTTTTTCAAAAGAATTTATTTAATTAAAAATTATTCTAGAGGAATTTGTTGAGAAACATCGACAATTATTAGAAAGTCGAGAAATATCAGAAAATCTACATTTATGGATTGATTTAATATTTGGTCATAAAGTTTGTTTTTATTTTAAATTTATTATTAATAATTATTGCTTATAGTTAACTGGTGAGAGCGCAGTTGAAGCAAAAAATGTTTGTCTTCCATTAGTTGATCATCATGAAGATTTGCGTAATGGAGGAATTGTACAATTATTTCTTAAACCACGTAAATAAAATATTAAAAACTTTGAAGTAATCCTTAAGAATTTTTTCATATATTTAGATCCTCCACGGTTTCTTTCCTCTGCACGTCAAATGATTGAGAATTCACCTTCATTAACACCTACACGTCATTCTACATTACTTGATGATGAACAAACAAAAAAATTAAGGTTTAATTTTTAATTCAATTTTCATTATTTTCTTCTCTACAAATTAATTGATTTCATTAGAACATCATCAATTGGAAGTAAGAGTCGATCAAGTGATTCCCTATTATTAACAAATGAATTAAATGACACATTTTCTCATTTGGATGCTATTGAACAATTACTTTTATTAACTTCAATTTCATTTGGTAAACTTCCATCAGCAAGTCTTAATCATCGAGTAAGTATAATAAATAAACTTCGATACGATAGTGAACTTGTTGGGTTTATTAATCTAATTCGGTTATTTAGGGAACAAAATTTAAATCAACATTTTTAAATGCATGTCAACTCGATTTACGATATTTTGGTGTATGTTTATTAGAATTGATATTACTTAGTAAACAGCATTATATATCAGCTAATTTCAATGGTTCTCAACGTTTAGCAGCAGCTAAACAATTGCTAAATAATAACTGGCAACTTATACCTATGTAAGACAAAACGAATTTTTTGTTTTTTTATATTATTAATTGTTTTATTATTCTAGACCGTTTCGTACGTGTCTTAGTTTATTATTATCGGATATGACAAATGAAAATGAAAGTAGTCATCAACAACAAATTTCAAATTGTGCTATTAATGCTGGATTTTTTTTAAATCGTTGGACAACGTAAATGAAATTTTGTTTTTGACATACATTAAGATAATCAGTTTGACGCAAAGAGGCATCTTGAGAGAGACTACTGTTGGAATATAGTTTAAGAAAAGATTCATTTGAAATTCTTTTAATTCTAAGTATATAATATTATAGAAAAAAATACTAATCAGTGTCACTGAAGTATAGATAAAGTCTTTTTAAACGATTCTACTATCAATTCTTGTCTAAGATATTACGGATATCATTATCATATTAAGAAATACATTTCTATAAAACATAATCTTGATTTTTTTCAGCAGATAGAAATCACTTCAATCTTTTTTTGTTTATTTAGACCTCTTCCTTTCCCATATTATTTCGAAGAACTCTATCGATTTATTCATCAACTTGAACAATTTGATCAACAACTTCTTCTTGGTCTAACATCAATTGAACAAAAACTTATTCATGATAGAAAATTTCAACTTTTACAAGCACAAATTCCATCATTACTTTTATCATTACATACACAACAAGCACATGATTTACTAATGCCGTATATTCTCGATGCTTTTCGTCATCCAATTTATGGTATTCGATGTATTTATTTTCTATTTAATCCAATAGCTGTTGTTCTGGGTCCGGAAGAATCTCGACGACAATTATTCACATTAATTCAAACAGCTTTAAATCCAGAAAGAACAACAATTTATCATTGGCGTTGTTTTACACATCGTTTTATCATTCAATTAATTGCACGTTTTGGTTTAACAAAATTTTTACAATCAATTCCAATATTACTTGTTGAAGCATGTTCAGGTTTTAAAGATGAAATCAATCTTAAAACTGAAATTGATGATGATAATATTAGTACAAATGATTCGAATACTGATACAGATGATACAAATAATGAACGATCGGATACAGTTACACCAACAGATTATGATGCAACTCCTGTTGATGTAAATAATTTCTTTTTCTAGATCAATTTCTTCTATAGGTCCTTTTCGTTTAGTTAAATGAAGAACAATATAATTCAAATCTATTATCAGATTCAGCTGTTGAAAGTATTACTTATCTACAATTAAAATTAGGTCCTGTACTTGGTTGTAAATATTTTGGTCGCCATTTACTTCGTATGCTTGCATTATGTTATGTTGATGATGAACAATTACAATTATTATCAACAGATAAAAACCCATTTAAAAGTATACGTTCTATACGTGGTGATGTTAATGCGAAGAAAATAATTGATTGTCTCTTATCTCTTATTCAAAATTATGGTGAACAAATTATTCTTCTATTCTGTTTTCCACATTTAATTGAAGCGGTTCGATTATTTTTATTTAAAAAGATAAAACAAAATAGTTAAAAATTTTTCTCTTTGATAGATTCGATTAGCAAATCATCGATTAACAATTCGTACTGAATCATCTTTACTTAGTTGTATGGTTCTTTTGAAAGCTATTCTTCCATATATGAGTGATAGTACATTAATGACTTATTTAAAAGTAAATATTCATAATTCTTAAAAAAAATATATATATAAGATATTCGATACAGGATCCAATTAAAGATCGAATAATTCATCCATGTCTTATTTTACTTTCATCAAATACTGTACATTTTCCATCATTTGATCGTGCTCGTTCAATAACTGCTTATCGTGGTATGATAAATAATAGTTTTCATCAACTGAATCAAATTTTCGTTTTTTTTCTAGTACTCGATATATTATTTTTACTCAGTTTACGTTTGGGTTATGAAAGTACACGTTTATATATGAAAGATTCTATTCGAGCATTTTTTGCTTGTTTTCAATCAATATGTGAACCAACAGATGATACAAATCGATCTCGTACTACTTCAATTATTGGTATACTTATTACCAAAAAAGAAGAATGATTATCTTTTCTAACGATTATCTTATCATAGGTTTTTCTGTAAATCGTGCAAATTCTCCAGGATCAATATCGGGTCCTCATACAAATGCTAGTAGTACAGATGGTGATGAATATTGTCGAATAACTATTGATAGTCTTACAAATTCTTATAAAATTGGTGCACCTGTTACACCACGTACTACTGATGATAGACAAAGACGTAGTGTTAGTCATAGTTTATTGACTACACCAAATATCGAAGGTAAATAATAGCGGTTTTTTTCCGCCTAGTAATAATAATACGGAAATGTTTTATTTAATTAGATGATAGTTCATCGTCATCAAATATTCATACACGTGAATCAATTCAACAAGAAATAGATGCAACATTTACTGGTGAATTAGCATGTACAGCATTTGTTCAATTTTGTCGTTTATGTGGAGAGTAAGATATGATTTTTTTATTCATTGAATCAATTTGTTTTTTTTTCAAATGAATTTTCTTTAGTCAACATATGAATTCATTAGTAACGAGAAATGACAGTATCTATGCTTGGATTTCTGATTTAACGTCAAAACCAGATGGTAATTATTTATATATATATATCTAAAGAAAATCATTTCTAAAATGAATATATTTAGTAATGTCTCGAAATGATTCAATTTCTGCTAATGATGTTCTTATGTCGATTCGTGATCGTGATATTCGACAGTAAAGATTTATTTTATATTTTTATTTTAAATTCAAACTTTATTTTATCTATTATTTAGTCAACAATTAGATGAAAGTCGATTTTTACGTAAAAATTGGCTTTCCTATTGGGAACATGAAGTAGGTCGTAGTGAAAATACAATATTAAGTTTTAAACAAATTCATTTACAATCATTTGTTGGTAATAAAATATAAACTTTTTTTGCTAGACGAAAAAAAGAAAACGTATAAAATTTATTGTTTCAGGTCATACAAATGCTGTTCGAAGTCTATGTGTACTTGATGATGAATCAACATTTATCAGCGGAGGTCGAGATCAAAAGTTACTTGTTTGGAAAGTTGAAAATCAAAATGACAATTCAATAAAGTTAGTTTATAAAATAACAATTTAATAAATAGGATTAAAAATGTCTTTTTTCTAGAGTTGAAAGTCGATGGTCATATAATGGTTATCGTAAATCAGTTTTTGCTATTTCATTTCTTGAAAGTCTTCGATTAGCAGCAACATGTGATGGTTCTGTTCATGTATATAATTATCATTATATTCTATTATTTTAATATCTTCTGAATTATTAATAGGTCTTAGATCCATTTCGTGGTCAATTAGTTTGTCGTTATTCACAATCAAAAGATACTTCAGCATATGCAGCTATGGCAGCTATGCCAGCACCTAGTACAAAGATCTTAGCAGCTACTAGTGATGGAATTGTCAGGTATATATACAACTAGAAGTTTTCAAATAGTTTCTCTTCATTAATACATTTATCTAGAACTAAAACTTCTTGTTTCGATTAATGATTTTTTCTCAACAAAAAAAACTATAGTATTCGAATCAATAGACATATATAATGAGTTCCTTCTGTATCAACATTGCTTGATATAAAATACAGTGTTATTATCACTGAAAAATCACTTTCTATAGCTTCCGAATGAAATTTTTTCTGACATTATTTTGACATTCATAATTCATTTTTAGTGCTTCTTAATACTAAGATAATTATAAAAAAAAGGTTCTTTCATTGATAATATTTTTACAGAATAAATAAATGTCATATTAATAAGGTTTTATGATGTGTTTCTTTCTTTTAATTAGATTTCTTGATGTTCGAACAAAAGCTTTTGCTTATGAATGGAAAACTACATTGGCTACCGGTGGTAAGAATTATTTTCTTATATTACACATTTCTATACAGATATATGAAAACTAGGTCAAGTGAAAACATTGGCTATTAGTCCGAATGCATATTCAGCTGTAATTGGATTTACAACGGGTACTGTTTCCGTATTTGATGTTCGTTCAGGCGGTATTTTAGGAACATTAAAAGTACCAGAAGGAGAAGTTTTAAAAGTAACTAATCGAAAATTAATCTGATTATAAAGAATTATTGTTTTCTAAAAATTCTAGGCAAATTTTTATAGTCGCAGTCGTTTTTTCACAAGTTCAGGTGATGGTTCAATATTTCTTTGGAATACAAAAGAATTAGCACAAGCAACTCCAACACTATTAAAATGTAATATATTGTTTATTTATTTATAAAAATTATGATTTTCTATTTTTCAAGCACATACGGATCCTGCTCCATTTGTACTAACAACACGTAGTGGAGAAGTTATTGTTGCTACACAAACAAATAAATTATGTATCTATTCAAATATAAAAGGAGGAGCACAGGTAAATATTTATTTTGTATTATCTCTTATGAGTTTATTTGTAAATATAAAGATGGATTGTCAATGTACACGACTTCAATCAGAGAATGTTAAAGGTACAGTTTCATCAATGGCATTATTTCCAGAAAATCGTCTTTTACTGTTCGGTTCCGAAAATGGCAATATCGAATTATTGTGTTAATAATTTCCAAAAACAAAGCATTTATCTTTTCTTTTTGTAATACTATGTTTTTTTTATGCAATACATTTTTATTGATTCTATAAACTTGATTTGATATTTTTGATAAATAAATTCTTTTCTAATTCTATATAGATCATTTATTGAAATTATTAAGATGAGTAATTCAAACATAATCACATAAAAAAAACGAAAAGAAATAATATTTAAATAAAATTTAAGTCAATAAATAATATATGACAGACTTGATTGCTGCATCTTTTATTGAAAAGAAAATAAAAAGTTATGCATTCAAGTTGATTCTCTTGAACAATTAGTTGCTGCCGGTTAAGTATCACAAAGCTTTATAAACATCAATCAAAAGTAAAAGAATAACATTGAAAAGGAACGCTCAAGGGCATTAAATTATAAGAAATAAAAGAGCAAGAAGAAAAAAAACTTTGTACTTTTTTTTTTAATATTGATCATCATCCATTATTCTAATTGAATTTAAATCTTTTCTTTTATAATAATAAGTACAAGACAACTATCTCATGTTTATTTCTTAACATATTATATAATTCATTTGAAATTTATCTTGTATGATTTAACATCAGGTGCTTTTTCTCAATAAAATTCATATTGTTATCTTACATTTTTGGTTTATTATCGTATATATACATATATGATTATCATCATGTAACTAAGTAATAGATAATCTAGTTTAAAAATAAATGAAAACTATAGAGATAATTTTTTTTTCGTACATGTTGATTCTCATGAGAAAATGTGAAGAAAGTGAATGGATCTTGTTGTCCTTGTTCTAGTCGTTGATGTGTGGATAGTGATTGACCATTCTCTTGGGAAAATGAATGAAGTAATTTTCACATGTTTTATATTCCCTCCCATTTGCAATATATTCGTACATCGTCTGACGTAATTATTCAATTCTTATTGTTATTCAATGTGACAGAATCGTTCTTCTTCTTCTTCTAAGGCTTTTTTTTATAGTCTTGATCGATCTAATTTTGATTCTATCCTGTCTCGATTGTAAGATGATGATTGTAGCATGGTTTTATCTTTCATATTTTTCTCATATATCAGTCATTCAGTTGCCTTTCTCGTTGTTGACAATCACTCGAGAGTTGACTTGTCATCAATGAGAACATTGACTACAATATTGACCAGTAAGAGCTCTTCGTTGTCCGTTTGTTTCATTCTTTTTTTTTTTTTTGTTCGTATAAAAGGGTAAAAGAAAGATCGTTAACCATCTGTTCACATGCAGTTTATTTGAGTACAGTAAAAGACAAAAAAAAATCGGCTGTCTTTTCCTTTCTCTTTTTCTTTCTTTCTTTTTCTTTCCATCGCTTTTTTTTGACACGTTCGGACAACGAACGCGTGCCACAACAGTAGAGTCATGTACAGTTCAGTTCTTGTACGTTCTGCTTCATCATTATTGTCAGTGCCACGAGAAATTAGGAAGAACGACAACGGCGACGATGACGAAGAGAGAAAAAGGCGGCTGCAATGAAGCTAGTAAAAGCATATAGCTGCAAAACAAACAGTCAATGGAACAGAATGACTCTATATATACACAAATGTATAGATGAACACTAGGTGGCTGGCTGGCTGACTGAATGACTGCTCTAATATATTGAAAAATAACCGCTACTTTTCCTATTACTCAATACAGATACGAACGACGCTTCTGTATACCATTGCCTTAATTATTCTTCTCCATCTTTTCCTTCTTCTTCTTCTTCGTTATCTCTGAAAACAATAACGACAGTGATTGGTGTATGATTATTGCCCTCGATCATCATTATTTTCACTAGCTTTCATCAATATTGTCTTTTCTTTCTCCACCTTATTTATTGTTCACTTTTTCGGCTACAATTAATTTTATCTATCTTTTGTAAAAAAAATATATCTATAAAGGTAAGGTAACAAGATTAAAATCGGAAAGAAGTTTTCTTTTTTTTCTACTATAAAAACAATTATAGAATTGTCTCGTATTATTATTTTCAATCTTTTAATAAGATTATTAGACCGAATAACTAGATTCGATCTATCGTATTACATATGATAATAATAATAATGTTGAAGAATGCAATGAAGCAAGATTGATGACAGTTTCAAGAGGAAAAACATAGACGTTTATTTATATACATATCATAATCTAAGTTTTCTTCCTGAAGCCATATAGATATCTTTGATACCTTTCTTGTTTTTTGTACTCTGAAGACAAGTTGATTTTTATCAGCTTCTCATCTTATTCTCGCTTCATCATTATTCCTCAAGGTTTACTATTTGTTTATTTCTTCTTTTTTTCTCTTTGATTCATATTCTTGATGATATTCAAACATATGTCTATCTATCAGAAAAGAATTCACTACTTAACTCTATACAATGAAATGATGTCGGAAGCGAAGTGTCTGCACTGCTTATGATAATAGTATACAATAGATCGTCTATTAAATGGAGCATCAATATACGATATAGACATCTAAACCAAAGTGATAGAAAGATCGACAGATGCAATCAAATCAAGTGAATAAATGAGTAATGCCAACGGGCGACACGCAAAATCTTCTCCCATTCTTCTTTTGATAATCAATATGGTTGGTCGCGCTCTTTTCACATACATGTACTTCGATACAGTATTGTAGATGAGAAGTAGTATTCATTCCGCTTCATAGACTAATTGTACTCTGTCGATTTCAATTAAATCTGGACTCTCAACATTCTATTACTTATTTCTTTCTTTCTCTCTCTCCCTCTCCTGAAGGCTATTCTGAGATTGTCACTAGTGTGTGTCTCATGAGATGTCGACAAGCATAAGCCTATTCGCAATCCAATTAGCGTCGTAGTTTTCACTCACTTTCTCCCTTTATTTTATTCCATTTCGTTATAAGATCAGCATATCCGTTCTTAATTCGAACTTGACCTTGTTTTCAAACGAAACCGACATACTCAAAAAGGCGACGGAAGTTAAAGAACTATTTATTGAGACAAGAGCGTTTCAAATAGTCGTATGCCCAATGATGTCGTCTGTAGGCAATTTAATTATACGGATAAAAAAGTAACATCGACGATTATGAGATATTTTTTCATCATTGACGATTAGAAGCGATTAGTCTACATATAGTTCAGAAACATCTATCATGTTTTGTCCTTGTATTTTATACAACAATTTTTCTTCTTTTTTTTACTTGAAATATTATTATGTTCCTGTTTTTCTTTTTGTTTGCCTTGTCTTCTATCATTGGCATGAATTATATTTTTCAATAGTGGTATCACGTCTTCCGTTGTTGTATTCATAACTGTGTCACATCACTTATATTAAAGAAGATAATAATAATAAATCGTTGCACTCTCCTTTTCTTTTTCTTTCGTGTCCTTTTTTTCCTCCTTCTTTCTTCTACTCCAATAACGGAAGGATAGATGAACAATGAACATTTGTCATCATTGTCGACGTTTCTTAACTTTTTTTTTTGCTTCTCTCTCTGATTTCTTACCGTAAAAAACAGGCTAGTATGCAGCACATGGCTAGAAACGAGCAAAAAGAAAACGTAAAATGCTCACGGTTACTTCATATCATCAAAAGTTTAATACTAGTGGAAAAGAAACAATAAAAAACCTATGTTAATATTAAAACAAATCAAAGAATTTCTGTTTTTTCTTATTCTAGAATGAAATAATTAATTATTAATAATGGAACAATATTTACGACAACGTATTGATTGTCCACCACCAGGTGGTACACGTACATTAATCGAAGAAAAAGATAGTATTATTAAAAAACAACAAGATGAATTAAGTAAATTACAAGCTCAATTAAAAACAATACAAGCTGAACGTGATTATTTACTTTCATTACTTTCTACTGAACAACAATTAAATATCAATAATAATAATAAAATGTAAGCATTTTTCCGTCCAATTAGTTAAGATAGCATGCTATTGAGTCTTCTTTTGATCAAGGTTAAATACGCATGTATTGACTTTGCGTAATCGTTCTTACGTTAGAAAGTGTATATACACGAATTCTGTCATCAGTTAGTAAGAAGATAGATAGATAAACGTGTATAGTTATGATTATATACATTTGTTGAATGAATGAACAGGCGGCGTGTGTGCGCTACGGGCAAACTGTATTTTGATCCATCTCTTTTTCATACATATGTCATTATTCATCAACTTTGACAATTAAACATGAATATAGTTTCTAACCTTGACATTTGTCAGTTACATCGCACATTTCTCAGTATATATATGATCTTAGAAAATTTGGAAATAGTTTTTCTTCTCCTCTTTATTAGATAAATATTTACTTTCTTTTTTGTTTAATGAGAAAAATAGTTTTTTTAATTGATTTTATCTCGTATACATCGGATAAAATTAAAGAAAAAGAAATAATCTCTTTTTTCTGTTTTGTTTTTTGTTATCTAAAGAAAAAATAATCAAGTAGGATTGTTATGTTGGCTTTTCAAATTATGACTATTAAGTCATGCAAGAGTCAATTAATAATATTCTGTTCAATAACGTTTTCCCTATTGTCATAGTAGTACTTTCAAGTTATAATTTTTTCTTTCATCACATTCTCTTTTTTTTCGATTCTATCTCTAATAGAAACTCAGCGTCTTAGTTTTAGTATGAGTATAATATGTATACACATAATGAATGTTTACTCTCATTTCTCTATGGAATGTAGATAATTTACTTCAAGTGTCTGTCATATTTTTTCTCTCAGAAAAGAAAAGAATGCTTTCATCTTAATTTAATATTCCTAAGAAAGAAAACTTAATTCGATATTATTCTATTCTAGACTTCAACATTCTACATCAAAAATGACAAATCACATTGATATTCGATCGTCAACATCATCATCATCATCATCATCTTCAACAACTACAACAACAAATTGTCCAACAAATACTTATGAACTTTCACAAGATCTTCATGATAAACAAATTGAAATGTTGGAAAGAAAATATGGCGGTAGCTTACGATGTCGTCGTGCAGCTACAGTCATACAACGTGCTTATAGACAATATAAATTAGAACAAAATTTTCGTCATTTATGTGCTACAATAAAAACTAATAAACGTTTATCATGTACATTTATCGATAATAATAATACTAATAATCATCATCATCAAATACAAACAATAAAACCTTTAAAACCATGTATAAGAACAACAATTAGACCTTCGTTACCAACAAATTCTGAAGATTTACTAAATAGTTCAACTAGTTCCTCATCATCATCACATACACCAACAAATTCTGATTCTATATCATTAAATTTTACTGATCGTCATCTTGATTTGCCATCGATTAATTTTGAACATTTTATTGAAACAACAAAACAACAACAGAATAAAAATCGTAAACGTGTTTGTATTGTTACCGATAAACCTACAAATAAAAATTTATCGGATCAAATTGATAATTTAAGTGATTTTGTTGATGGTCATTTAAATAAACCACTTGTACTTATTGAATCAAATAATAAAAATTTAATAAATACAAATGGATATAATGGTTTATTAAAACCTCAATCACCTTCACCAACACATGATTCAAATTTTTATAAAAATCTAACTGATTCACCAATTCATCTTAGAAAAATTTCTTCACAAAAACCAACACCACCGCTTCGAAGCTTATCATTGAAACCTCGTACAACATTAGTTCAAACAGCAAATCCTCTATCATCACCAATATGGCGAAGAAAAACTTCTTTAACAATTACAACACATGATAATGATTATAATGATTTTACTCTTGAAAGTCCAAATCGTTCAATAATACAACGTTTAAGTCCATCATCAACGACAAGTTCAGATCGTGATAATATGAGTTTACAATCAACAAGTAGTGGTTCAAATTCATGTTCATTATCAAATAGTGTTGATTTACATCAACAACAACCATTACTTATTCAACATCAACCTGTTTTACATGGACATGAACGTACATCGAATATAAGAATCAATGAAATATATCGTAGACGTTGCTATCGAGCTGGATTAAATATATTTAATAAGTAAATTTTATTATACTATGAATATATATATATGTATATTTATTTGCATTAAATAGAAAACCTGAACGTGGTATTCGTTATTTAATTGCTCATCGTTTTCTTGAAGCCAATGCTCAAGCTGTAGCACGTTTTTTACTATCACGTAAAGGTTTAAGTCGACAAATGATTGGTGAATATCTTGGTAATCTACAAGATTCATTTGCTATGCAAGTGTTACAGTAAGTTTTATTAGTATGAATTATATATATATATATATGTATATATGAAATATTGTAGTGCATTTGTTAATGAATTTGATTTTCATGATATGCCTATTGATGTCGCATTGAGAAAATTTCAATCATCATTTCGATTACCAGTAAGAGATTAGAAAAGTTAAATTAATCAAACTATCCTTCTTATTCTTTTCATTAAAGGGTGAAGCACAAAAAATTGAACAATTGATGAAGGTAAGTCTAACATAAAGTATACTTAAGTATGTTAAATGAAAAAAAAGATGATTTGTTTATTAAAAAAGTTTTATTCTTTCTTTTTCTTCTTTTTTTTTATTAATTCTTCTATTCAGGTATTTGGACAACGTTATTGTGCAACAAATCCATCATCATCACCGTCAAATGTTGATACGATTTTTATATTAGCTTTTGCAATTATTATGTTAAATACTGATCTTCATAGTCGAAATATCAAAACGGAGAAAAAAATGCGTGTAGAACAATTTATTAAAAATCTTCGTGGTAAGCATAGATCTATATATATATAGCTATCAAAAGGAAATTATGCAATTTGATAGAACATTTTTCTTCTTCATGTATGTGACGATTGGTTATGTATTTAGTGAATGTCAATTTTTCCCAATGTAAATACACATAGTATGCAACATAATGAATCTTTTACCATTACTTCAGGCTATTAGTTGCCGTAGCAGGAAAACCGAACGACACTGATTGCCAATTTGTCACTTTCTTTTTTTTTTCTTTTCCTTCTCGTTCGTCTGCTCCTAAACATGCTCATGATAAGAAGGATTACACCATAGGTAAAAGTTTTCTTTTAACTTCCTACTCTCTCTCTCTCTCTCTGTCTCTGATTTTTTTCTTCTCTTTCCCTAGTAGATTTTTCCGTGATCGGACAAAAGAATGCACGCAAAATTTTCTTTTTATATGTAATATATTTGATATATTACTTGCATGTTAGATTAATTTGTCGGTATGTGAGCTTAAATGAGTCGAAGAAGAAGAAGAAGAAAATGTTGACTTAACAAATTATATGTTCATTCAATGATGATACTGTTAGTGAAGGTAGTTATAGTATAAAATCTCTTTTATTTCTTCATATAATGAGCCACGCAAAACTAACATATGCACACTAGTTAGATGAAAACTGCATTGCGGGGCATTGATAGATTATCGAAAGGATAACACACAGCATCATGTGTATATACATCTGCAAGAAGCTAAACTTGTTTGTTCGTTTCACATATATAGAGCACAGCTAGACAAGAATCAATTAGGAAACGCTTTTTCAAGTAAACACTACTACTACCATGCAAATTGACTAGTTGCAACCATTAAACAGAAAGAGATAGATAGACAGAGAGAGAGAGAGAGAGGGGAAAAGAAAGAAAGAACGAACGATGATGCCAAGGCAATCCAAGTGAAGACTCATTTTCTTCAGATTCTTCTTTTTTTTCCCTTCTTATTGACTAATGTTTCTCCTATTACTACATTTGTATTATTCTTAAAAGAGAAATATATATATATTCGGACATCATATAGATGCTCGTCATTTTCTTTATATATACAAATAGAAAAAAATTAACAACAGTGTAAGTTATCTTAAGATCTTATTTTATTCCGCATTATTATTTGACTACTAATCAAGATAAGAATAGTCATAGGCTGATTTTTCTTCTCCTATCTCTCGTTATATATGTCTTTCAATTCAAATGAGATTTGCATGTTGCATTCACTAGAGCATCATTGTCTATTGTCATCAATGATGATGAACATATGGTTAACGAAGCGAAGCGAAATAGGAAAAAAAAAGATGAAACAGATTAGACAACATTGAAGTGATGTGAATGTAAATCGAAGCCTTTGTCATATAAGTTCATTATTCCGATGCGCTATCGTTAAAATGACATGAAGACTGAAAGAGAGCAAGAGAAAAAGAGCAATGACAGTAGATTACGATGAGAAAAGAGAAAGAAAAATCCATAGATGCGATGATCTTTATGTTGCGTTTTTCTTTCTTGATGTAGATGAATATTGGATTTCACTTTGTATGTAAACGCACACATTGGTAAGATTGACATGATTAGAGCAATCCAACGATGACAAGCGAAATTTGATTTTCTCGATCCTTTTTTCTTTTTGACTTGTCTTATTCTATCATTTTGATAGAATGCATTAAGAATATGAGTTATTGGCATTTCACTTTAGATTAGTATAATAATTTCTTTTTCTTTTTTAGCATTAGAATAATTTTTTAATTAAGATCTTAATGAATGTTGCACTATATAGTCACATACCAATTTACATCTATCTTCTCGTTTTTCTTCCTGAAACTAGAATAGAAAGGAAAAAGACTGAAGCAGGCAATAATATAAGATAGCTGAAGGCTTATTTTAATCGAGATTGATGCATGCTATATTTTACAACTAAGTATGATAGATTTTTGGCATACATTTTCTCTAAGTAAATCAAAGTGTTCAGTCTCGTTTAGTTGAGTAAAGAAAAATGTTAATATATATTGATATATATATGTGTGTGTGTGTGCTCGCAAGCGGAAGAGAAAAAGAAAGTGGAAGAAAATCGAATCAAACGGTTTCTCTTTCCAAACTAAGAAAAAATGTCTGTTACTACCGTTGCTTAAGCAATAGCTTTTGCTTTTTTCTTTTTGTAGATTCTTCATCCGCTTGATTATTATAAAGAAGCAAAAAGACTATAGAAGAAGGAATAAGAGGGAGAGAGAGCAAGACGATTTCCGCTTGCTGCACAATCCGAAACCCATTCGTCATAGACAAGTGGAAGAAAACGCTTTTTTTCTTAAGAACTTGTATTCATTCACTTATTCACTCACTCGTCTACTTCTTCTCATTATCAATCATATCAAGGTCTTTTCATTGCTAACTACTAGTGTATATATTCATAGTTGAAATCGAATTTTGCTTTAGCTTATGAAGGCTTGTACGAACGATCTTATTCTCTGTTAATCATATTATTAACGTCGAGAAGACGACAAGAAATAGAAAGGAAAACGAGAGAGAGAGAGAGTATAAGAGAAATCATTGCTTTCTTCGTCTTCTTCTTCAATTCTTTATCAAAGAAGAATATCGACGGAAAAGCTAAAGGGAAAAGAAAAGACTGAAGAGGGGAAAAGAAGCAGAAGAAAAAAAATCGACAGAATAGAATCAAAATCGATCATTTCAATTTTCACAATACTATATTATAGCCTGATTCTTTTCGCAAATCGTAGTAGTGACAGCGAACGGAAGTTAACCAAAAATGTCTTGTTGAAATAGAGAAAAAATTAGAGAAAGAGAGAAAGAAAGAGAGCGAAATGGAACGGCTTTTCCATTGCTTCCTCTTTAAATGCATATAAGAGAAAAAAAGCGACGTAAGTTACAAAAAAAAAGAAGAAGACGAAGAAAAAAAAGAAGAGGCAGAAAAAGAAAATCATCATCTATAAATCATCGACCATTCGCATGTAGTAGTGCCACTCATTACTATCGTTCGGTTGTCGTTATTACGCTAAAGCATAACGAGAAAAAAAAAAGAAAAAGAAAGTTTCTCTATGTCAACAGACATTCAACTTGATTCTTCGACTTCTATCTTCTTAATAATGATTATTAAACAAGTCATGTTATTATCTTCTTCTAGCAATCGATGATGGTGAAGATCTTGATGTAAATTATTTAAGTGAAATCTATGAACGTATACGTGCTGAAGAATTTCGTCCAGATAATGATCATGTAACACAAGTTGCTAAATTTGAACAAACACTTATTGGTAAAAAACCCATCTTAATTGCGCCACATCGTCGACTTGTTTGTTATTGTCGTTTATATGAAATCTTTGATTTATCAAAACGTGATAGACTTACAGCACATCAACGTGAAGTATTTCTATTCAATGATTTACTCGTTGTAAGTTTCATTTCAACTCTATTTTTTTTCTATTATTTTTTTTTTGTTGTATAATATTTAGATTACAAAAATTTCCGGTAAAAAACGTCAACAATTACAATATCAATTTCGACAAGCATTTCGTTTATCTGGAATGAATTTATATTTATTTGAAACGACATGTAAAAAAAAATTTTTTTTTTACAAGTATGTTTTTTTAAAAATTTAATATATCTTTCAGATTATCAATATGGTATTCGTCTTGTACGTAAACCAGATATAAATCAAACAAATTTAATAACATTTAATGCAAGAAATGAACATGATAGAACAAAATTTTGTGAAGATTTAAAAGAAGCAATTATGGAAATGGATGAAATGGAAGGATTACGTATACAGTCTGAACTTGATAAATTACGTGGCTCATGGAGTTCACTTGCTGATATACCAAATAACAATAATAATAATAATAATAATGGAGTTGTTTCATCCTTAATTGATTATCCAACAAATAAACGTGATAGACCATTATCAAGAACATTATCAAATTCATTACTTGATATGACATTAACCATGGGTATTCCACCAACATGTACGTAAAAATTTTGATAAATAAAATAAAAAATAGTTATTATTTTGTATTTAGTTAATCATCATACAACAATAAATAATACATCGGATATTTTACCATATCGAAATTCTCAATGTTCAGTTGATAGTGGAATGGTAATTGAAATACAAAAGGAAAATTTATTTAATAAATAGTAATCATATCCTTTTCACAACCAAAAAGTGTCCATTCGTGATGATTTTATGGTTACTTTCAGGTTGTGGATAGGAAGGATTGCATAGTCTCTTATTATTATTATAGATAATATTTAGTGCATATATATACGTTTTGTTGTTTGTAGGTTTCTTTGACAAATGATTTTTCACCGAATAATGGTATTACGATTCGTTCAACAGGGAATAAACTAAACTAAATTTGTGAATTGATTCTACAGCTAAATTTAAGAAAGCTAGTCAGTCAAGTGTAAACAGTTGTTGTTTGTTTTGTTTTTTTTTTTCTCTTCTTTTGTGATGTTCAAAATGAGGAACATTTTGTATATGTTTAAATTCGTTTTTTTTTTGTGAAATAATGAAAAAAAGAAAAGAAAAGAAAGGAACAATCGGTCATATTTAATGTGACTTTTATTGTCTATGATTTGATTGCATAAATATAGAAAATTTTTCAATATTTTCTTTAGCTTTTAATGTTAATAAATGATTTTCATTCTTAAGTTGTTCATATTCATTTGATAAATTAGTTAATTCAATAGATTGTCGATTATGTTCATTTATTATGGATATTTGATTTATTTGTTTAAATATTCTATTATGTTGAATAAGAAATTGTTCTATTCGATTTGTTAATTTAATAAGTAATTCACGTCGTTGTTGAAGTTTAGAAGAATATTCATTGATTTGATATTTTTTATAACGATATTCATTTTTAATATGATCAATTATAGTTGATTTTTGATTCATACTTAATTGTATTGAATTTAATAATTCTTGATAATCAATATTTAAATTAGATTGAAATATATATGGTGAAATCTAAATAAAAGAAAAGTAAAATTTTGAATTTAGATTTTTTTTTGTATAAACTTGTTGCATGATATGTTTTATAGACGATTGATTGAGTAAATGATCGATTTGATCTCTTTTAGCACGCATTTGTAAAAGACGTGTTTCAATTGGTTCAATAATATCGAGCAAATTTTGATCATGTCGAATATATTCAATAATGATTGATAAAGCTTTAAAATGTTGATGTAATTTATCGAGATAATTTTGTATAGTTTGAAAATTTGTTGTATATTGAAGAAATCTTTGTAAATAGATATGATTATGTTCATCATTTGACAAAACAATATTAGGTGATTTTTGAGATGTATCTGCGGAAGATGTTTTATTTGTTGAAATTGATGTTTGAAGAATTTCAACTGAATTTTCTGTTATTGGACTTAATAAACGATTGGGTAATGGATCATTAGATGAGGCATATTCATGTAGAGAATGATCATATTTCAGAAGAATTTTTGATATGAAAGGAATTTCTGACGTCATTATATCGTTATTTCACTGTATGATAACTATAAAAATAGACAGAGAGAAGAAAGAATTCTACGTATGACGAAATAGTAGAAAAGAAAGAAATAGATGACGGTAGATTGAAACCGATATATATATATTTTTTCAGTAGATGTAACGAATATATAAAGTATTTATAGTTAATCGTAAATTTCTATTACTATTATGAAAAACAATTTTTTGTTTTCTATCATAATGAATATGATTAATTGATTATATTGCTGTTTGAAGAACGTTTGACTTATAATTTAGTTAACCTGTTAAGAAACTGATTGAATATTTTATTTTGTACATCATCCAGTAAAAAGATTTTTAGACAAGACTGGATAAGATTTGAAATATTGAGTATAATTAAGAAAAAATATAAAATTTCTACAAAATAAGTGATAATGAATTCATAAAGATGCTTTTTTAGCAAGAAGAATCTGTGTATACTACAATGTTAACTAATCAGTGATAAATTTAAATTATTAAAATATCATCGTTTAGCTATGATATTTATTATAGTTTGTATCTAAATATGTTGGACTCTCGAATGGCTATAGTCAGATATATGTTAATGAGTTGCTACAGGCATTCGTTGATCTCTTTTATTTATGACTTTGATCAGGATACTTTATCATCTTCTATTTATTAATACATCAGACAATAGTACTGAACATGATAAATAAATCTGTGCTATATTTCAGCTGTTCTTTTACAAAAAGATAAGTTTAAGACATGATTAAATGTAAAAATGTTTAAGTATACAACTAGACGTACACTAAACCCTCGATATCTGATTCAAATCTATACTCAATACCCCAAACTTCCAAACAGTCTGAGTGTGGTGCATGTCTATGTACAACACTCTTCGTTGAACCTATCAATTTTTTTGTAGAATGATACATCAAACGAAAGTTATTATAGAGATTAATCACATCTAGATGATTAAAACCGCAAGAATTTTGTTAAATAACAACTGCTCTTATATAAATTACAAGTTCTAATTGTTATTTTGTTATGTTAGCATTTGAAACATTAAAATATCTACGAACTATTATTAATTAATATCTGTCGCACAAATATTTTCAATTATAACTAACATAATCATACATGTAATTATTACGCTAAAGAAGAAGTAATCTTGTTGTGTACAAAAAGACTAATACATATTTTTACGATAATTAAGATGTTGTTTCTTTAGAAGAAATGAAGTTATTGACATATGTCTAGTTCCAACGATGTTTATTGTTTTTAACGAAAAAAAAAATATTGTTACGCCTATTTCCATTCCACTTCTTCGTGTCCTTGACAAGCTTTTCTCCTTCCTACGCAGTCTATATGTAATCTTCTATCGATATACGTAAATATCTCAAGAAAAGCTTTTTTTATCTTATAGGGTTTTTCTATACATAGAGAAAATAAATATTTCCTGGAAAAACAGTCTGAATAAATGCACTCTATTGCACACAACGACATCACGTTTTTTTTACATAATAAATTTCTTTAAAGATTATTTGATGTTTCACTATTATCTACTTGGTATATATGTTCATTTTTTCTGTTATGGATATGTTTGACAATTCTTCAAAAGTGAAATAAGTGCTTGATATTCTATAAAGATAGATATAAATATGTGTAAACGTGCGTCACAAAGAGAAAAAAAAGAAGAAGAGGTGATATTTGAGTATAAAAAAAGAAAGGTTTTAAGGTCTTGTTAATAAAAGTCGTTGTTAATAGTTTTCATAATTATTTTCATCGTGTAGATGAAAGTGATATAATTTCGACAGGTTCATACATTGATTTCGATGAATAATTACGGGATGAATTATTATAATTCATTTGTTCATCATCATCATAATCATGATTATGAAAACTAACATTTTTTTTTGAGGATAACATTGATGATGATGAACGAGATTTTGTTAATGAATCATTTGGTGAATCACCAATATTGTGCAAAATTTTCTTAGTTGTATCCGTTGAAAAACGTGTTATAGCATTAAGATCATCATTAAGACTACGAAGATGAATACTGTTTGATAATGGTTGACTAGAATGAATAAATGAATAGTCACGAGGAGCATTTGCTACTGTTGAAAAATCATATAAAGATGATGCTGTAGGTGATACTAAACTAGTTGTACGTCTTGGTGGACTATAATCTGGTTTTGATGATAATGATAAACGATATTTTGAATAATAATCATCTTCAACAGGATTCGAACGATATTTTGATTGATAATCATCATCAGATAAATTTGATCGATATTTTGACTGATGATCTTCATCAATAGGATTTAAACGATATTTTCGATGATAATCATCATCACTTTGATTTGAACGATATTTTGTATGATAATCATCATCGATTAGATTTGAACGATGTTTTGTATGATAATCATGAGAATTTGAACGATATTTTGTATAATGACCATCGTCAATTGAATTTAAACGATTATATTCATCTATATTATCATCATCATAATAACTATAATCATTAGCTTGTTCTTTTAATGGTACACGTACATCACGATTTGAATAAGATTTAGCACGTGTTTCATAATCAGGACTTGCAGCATGTTGTGGTTGATGTAAGTATGAAGCAACACCATAATGATATTGATTATATTTATTTGATGATTGTGTATCAGGTACTGAAAGTAATGCTGAATATGTTTCACTAAATAATGGTACAGCACTTGATGGTATTGATGTACGATATGGACTATATGCACGCATTATTTCATGATCTGGTTGTAATTTTTGATTAATTTTATCAAGTTTATTATTCATAGTTGTTTCAAATTGTCGATAACGACCAAGAGCTGTTTTAAGTTCAGTAGATTTATCTTGTTCTTGTCTAACACGTCGTTTAAGTGATGCTGGTGGTGTTGGTAAATCATAAGCAAGAACTTCAGCGGGTGATGCGAAATTCATTGCACGTGCTATTGATGCACTTGTATTTTCATCATTAATACTACTTGCTCCTCGATCTAATAGAATAGCACTTTCCATTTCACTTTCATGTCTTTGACGCATTAAATTTAAACATAATTCATGATTACGTTGACGATCTTGTATTTGTTCCCATTTTTGGTCACGTAATGATTGAGCTTGTGCGGCTTTTAATTCTTCTTCACGATCCCATAAACTTAATTCTTCTAATTTATTCATTAAACGTCTTGTACGATGTTCACGCCAATTAGGATTTAAACGTGCACGATTTGTTTTTGGTACATATTTTTTTTCTTCTTTTAATGGTGATGTATTACTAGATGTTTCAAGTTTATAACTTTCTACAAGTGTATCAATAAAATCTACTGGTCGACGTGATGATGAATAATTCGAACGAGTTTGATTAGAACTTGTTGAACGTGATCTAGGTATTTCAATATCATCGACTTTTGAAGCAAAATTTACTGAGCGAGTTTTTGATGATGTTGTTGTTGTTGTTGTTTCTTGTTCTCGAGATTGACTATTAATATTCTCCTTATTATTCTCTTCTGTAGAAATCTTTGTTGATTTTTGTTCTTGTACGTCAGATGTCGTAGATAGTGAATTATCAGCTTGAGGTTCTTCTTGAGATTTCTCTGTAATCAGATCTGAAGATGAACTTTGCTCTTCTTTTGTTTGTTCTTTATCCTCTTTGTTTGTGTTTGTCGATGGTGATGTTTCAATTTTTTCCTTTTCCTCGTTTACTACTGGAGATTTCTTTTCTAATGACGATGATGAAGGTGATTCGACTTCATCATTTTTCGTCGGAGGTACTTCATCAGAAGCCGATGCCATGAGATATTTTTTTGTTTTATGATTTCACACTAAATAACCCTAAATAAATAAAAATGAAACACAGCTTTATTAAATTAGTTACCGAAGATTAGGAAATTATCTTTTTTGCGTCGTCTATGTAGATACAATCGTTCGACGACGACAACGACGACAACGATGCCGCTATGCGTGCTTCGCTAGGAAAAATAGTAAGAATTGTGTATCGTAAAAATGTATTTTTTCCCTCTCGCTTGCTGTCTCTCTCTCTCTCTCTCATTTTCTCTAGCATACACTCGTCTGACAGAACAATCATAAACAAACTCGTCTTATTCGTAATTGTTTTGAGATGTTTGTTCTATGTTTCGTCGCTTAAGAGTACTAGGAATCCTGCTAGTAACTAACTGTACATAAGCAAAGGATATATCACGCGTAAAGAAAAAAAAAAGTAGAAAAAAGGAGGAGAAGACGACGACGATAGAAAATCATTGATACCTTTTCTTACGGTCTTCTTTTTATGTTATTATGTCGATGAGAATAATCGCATTTGTGTATAGTACAAGAGAGCAAATGAATGTTGTCGTTTTATTCCTATGATAGCTAAAAGCATCAGAAATATAGGAAAAAAAAGAAGGTTATCCATCTCTGTACATACATACATTTTTGGTATAGAGCATAAGAAAGAAAGGAAATACTTCTCATTCGTCAACCACAAAAGGACGCGTATTTACTCGTAGGGTAGATAAAGATCGATACCAGCAGTATAACTACCACGCTTCATCATACGAACATGGAAAAGAAACAGAGACGTATTTTTTCTTCTATATAACAAAAAAGAAAGATTTCTGTCCATATTGACATCACGACTATACATTCATCAAGGCCTATATCCACTAAAAACGCTTTAGAATAATCAGATATAGATACAATCGAGGCTTCCATATAATTATACAATAATCTTCAAAATATATAAAATGAATATAACCATATATGTATATATATATATATATAATATTGAATGATTGACAATAAATGAAAAGTACAATACTCATATTCTACATGTATATATGTATGAATGCATACATATATATGTAGAGCAGATACCAGGCATTACTTCATGTTTTTCTTTTATTTCTTCTTGTATTTACATTATTTAAATGGTTAAAAGTTGTAAACAATCTTTCTCGTTATTCACCAGATGCTTCTACTATAATAAAACCATTTTGACTCAATTATCTAGCAGCAATATTGATATAACAACTATTGTATCTTCGCTCAACGATTTCTTCATTATACTCAACAAAAGAAACTACTCAGACCAATCATTATAGAATTCATTCAAATGATGACAGCTATGATAAACAGCTATGCAATCTATCTTATAAATTGTTGACAGTATATGATGAACAATTCTGAAGAATAATCATTATTCGATATATAGATATGAACATCTAATGAGTCAAAGAAAATATTCAAGACTTAATCAATGGTATATAAAAGTATTTCCTCTATCTAAGTTGATTATATAAATATATAACATTTGTTCATCTCTATTATCTATGATGAATTCATCTGATATTAACTTAGATTATTTTATATTGATTTCTATGGCTCATTACATTATAATTTAGGATTGATTTTTTTAGAATACAAGAAAATATTACTATATGACCATATCTTTTGTAAATGCGATTGAATTCTGTATATATATACTTCATTTGTTTTGTAAGGTCTATGAGAATACATAATGCAATCAGTTGTAATATATTAGATAGATATTCTTATCCATTGTCTGACATCAAGAAACATATTATTTGAGGTATGTTCTCAAACAATTATGTATACATATTGTTCTTCTATATTACAGAAAACTGTATTATAATATGTTTTCTTCGATATTTACATATATTATTTTGATATGTATCATTAAATATAAATATTAATCACACTATACACTTATAAAACCCGTCGGATATGGAAGTAGTAGTAGTAGATTATGCTTTATTTAACATATAAAAAAAATCAAACAGATGGAACAGTAAGTTACGGCAATCAGTAATCAAGAACCATAACGATCTGCCACTCTTTTCCTTGGATTCAATGACAATATTTGTTATGATGGGATACTGTATTAACTATAAAGTTTAATATTTTTTCATATAAATTTGCTTTTATTTATATGTAGTAAAAGTAAAACACAATCATTTATTGAAACACATCGGAATTTACTAAAATATTTTTATCAGTAATTTAAAACAGTACTTCTTATCTGTTGATATATAAACTAACAAAATATGTGATATTATTAATAAACATCTACAAAAAGTGTACAAAAAGGAATATTTAGTCACTGTATAATCTTCGAATTAATTTGATAATATGAAACTGTTGTATAGTCAAATAGAATAGTTGAAGCATGACAAGAAAAACCTAATTGTTTTTTAAATACGCAGATAATTCTATATCGTTAAGTACACATTTTCTTCTTATGTATCTAACATCGTTTCATCAAAAAAAGAAAAGTCTAAATACTACATGATAGATGCAAAAAATTGTCCCAACTATTAAATCCATTTACATATTTTTACTGAAACATATGTATACGTAAAACAACAAAAGTTAAAACCAATATTAGTATAAAAATATTATTTAATACTTCAGCTAAAACTGCATAGAAAATTTTCATGTAATAATTTAATTTATGTTTTGGCGAATATTCACGTTTTTGTTTGTTTTCTTCTTATGCTTTTTTATCTGTGAGTATAAATGAATCAATTATAAAGAAAAATGAGTCTGCTCGTCATTTAATTTTTTATATATAAAACAAAAACAGAGAAGAAAAAATTTGTTTTTGATGAATCATTTTATTTATAGCTATAAAGATATAGAAAAAAGTACGGGCGTATGTTGCCATGTGCTTTTTTCCGCGCTCTTTTTTTTCCTTCTCGCATATTCTAATGTCATTCTTTCCTGTGGGTATTTATTAAAAAAACCCACTGGGTAGTGTTTTGTTGGTTTTATATACAGACTGGATTATGATTGTCTTATTAATATAGTGCAATCAATAGCTTGATAATGGCCACTCCTCAAGATGATGAGCATCGTTCATCACAACGTAGTGGTAATGTAATCCGTGTTCGAGCTCCATTATCTTTTCAAAGATCATCGATTCCAATAGCACCACCACTTATGTCAAATTTAAGAAATTCTCAAGTAAATGTCAACGATAACATGAATGAACAACATCCCATTGTTCAATTGAGTTCTGGTGTTGTTAGGTATTTATTTATGAGAGAAAGTTTGATATCATTAATTAAATTTTTTGTTAATTTTCATTTTAAAGACATCATCGTAATAGAGGTCATAGTTCAAATGCTAGAGGTGGAGGAAGACAAACAAATATGAATAACCATACTCAATCTTTTATGCCAAATAATAATAATAATAATAGAGATTTTTCTTCAAGACCTAATTCAGGATCTACAAATTCAACCACTAGACAAACGTAAGCAATGATTATTATTTAAAATCAATTTAATATTATATTAAATTCTTTAGATCAAATAGAGTATCATCTCTACCACATATTACATATCCTATGCTTACTAATTTACTTGATAAACAACCAGATGAAATTCTTGATCAAATGCTTCATCCAAATTTTCAATTAAAAGCATTTTTAAAAGATGATCGAATGAAAAAACGATCTGATTGGATAGTAACAATGACAAGATTACTTGAAAAGATTACTACTTGTAATACATCAAGTGAACGTATAATCAAGGTTTTAGAACAATTACCTAGAACATTATATATCGAAGGTGTTTATGAAGAAGTTGCTAAACTTGATCCTATAACTGATCAATTACGTTTCGATTTTATTCAATTATTCCTCAAAATATTCAATAAATTTCTTTCTATAACACCACATTCTGCTGATGATTTAATTAAAATATCTGAACGTATTGAATTACAATTTCATAAAACTAAAATAAAATCACAGGTAAAATAAATATATTGGGGAGATCTTTTTCATTTAATAATATGAATATTATTTTTAGGAATTTGAAGATACAAAAGTTCTACTTGATGAAGTACTTGAACAAATTGAAGCTATAAATTATCGTAAAAAACAAAAACAAGAATTATTAAAAGCAAAAATGCCGACGACGGCGACTAATAATAATAATAATATTGAAGAAAATATTGATCCACCACCAGATGATTATCGTCTTTTACCAATTATACCAAATGTAACAGAAATTTTATCTGAACGAAAACCATATCTTCGAAGAAATATTATTAATGGTGTTTATGAAGATCCTCAACATTATCTTGATGTAAATATAAATTGATTGAATTTTTTTCTTTGTAATATAATTTCATTTTTTCTAAGATTCATTTCCGTCTTTTACGTGAAGATTTTGTTGGTCCACTACGTGATGGTATTACACAATATCTTTCTAATACTGGTGGTAAAAATTTTAATGTACGTATCTATGAAAATGTTCGATCACTTGGTTCACGATTAAGTCCACGTAGTGGTATTGTTTATGATTTACGTTTGGATATTGTTATGGCATCGAAAATTTCTTGGGTTAATAGTCGACGATTGATATATGGCAATTTACTTGTTCTTACTTATGATAATTTTAAAACATGTGCATTTGTTACTGTCGAAGATCGAACACAAATTGAAAAGGATTTCATTATATCGGTAAATTTTATAGTTTATTATTAAATTCTCTAATCGTTTAATTAAATTAGGTAAAAACATTAGAAAAAATAAATAATAGTGAACAAATACAAGTAGATCTTGATGCAATTGATTCATCATATTCATTAATAATGATTGAAACTACAACATATTTTGAAGCTTATCGTCCAGTTCTTAATGCTCTACAATCAATCGATATTGAACATACATTTCCACTTGCTCCATTTCTTCTCAAATTAAGTAATGAAATGGTACCACCAGATTATATTACACCAACAACAACTTATGATTTTACTCCTTTGCTTGTTCAACCGAATTCAGTTGTAACAGCTAGTGTTGTTGTTCATGAAAGCGTACCACAACATCGAGGTCTTGGACGTCGAGGTCCGATTCAACCAATTACTGCTAAAGAATTTCAAATTCGATATAAACAATCAAATCAAGTATTACCAAAATATAAATCTGTTTCATTACTTAAAAAGGATGATTGGCCAACACATGATGAATTACATCTTAATCCAAAACAACGAGACGCTTTAATTTTAGCTTTAACAAGTAAAGTTGCACTTATTCAAGGACGTAAGTAAAACTTAATTTGAATTATATTTAAAGATACGAACTGAGTTTGATTTTAGCACCGGGAACTGGAAAAACTTTTCTTGGTGTACGAATAACTGAAATGCTTTTACATAATCGATCTGTATGGTGTCCACCAGATGAACAAGCAACACCAATTCTAATGATATGTCATACAAATCATGCACTTGATCAATTTTTAGAATTAATTATTAAACGTCTTAATATAAAGGAAGGTTAGAATACTTTTATTTTTATCTTAGCATATAGAATTTAAACTATTTTTTAGGTATTATTCGTGTTGGTAATCGTTGTCAAAATGCTACTATTCAAAATTTTTCATTGATTAATGCACGTAAACATGCACGTGAAAGTCGAGCCATACCTGGTCATATCTATCATCAAAAACGTTTGATATTAGATAAAAAAACTGAAGCTGAAGAAGTATTAAAAATACATGAACATAAAATTGTTCATTCTCGGACAAATATCATACCACTTTCATCATTTACTGATTATTCTATTATTGATAAGAAACATATTTCATCATTATTAGCTCCATATCCTGATGATGATTATTTTGATATAGCATTATGGGATTGGCTTGGCATAGGTCAAGATTGTGAGCAAATATCCGAAGATTTAATTAATGTCTTAGATATTAATACTTCAATATCGAAAATGGACATCAATGATAACGAGAAAAAAGAAGAAGAAAACAAAGTTGATGATGAACAAAAACAAAATGATGAAGTAGAAACACAAACACAAGACGGAGAAAATAAAGATGATGATGAACAGCAAGAGAAAAAAGAACAAGAAATCAATGAAGAAGAGGAAGAAGAACAACGAAGACGCGATGAATTAGAAATTGAAGCAGAATATTTTGTTCCATCTGCTGTTCCTAAACTACAATCAAAGAAATCAAAATCAACGAAAGCTTCATCAACAGATAATAATGGAGACGATGAATGGCGTGTTGTAAAAAAGAAACCTAATAATCGTCGTCGATTAATCAAAAATATTCTTCAATATCCAACAACATTAACTGATCAAACAATTCAACAACTAGATCATGATCTTTGGGCACTTCCTACTGCTCAACGTCATGATCTTTATCGTTATTGGCTTTTAAAATATCAACATTGCATAAATGATTCAGTTCATGATGCTAAACATGAATATAACAAAGCAGTAACTGCTCTGGCTGAATATCATCAAGATGAAGACTATTTTATCTTAAAAGATAGTATTATTGTGGCAATGACTACAACATGTGCTGCAAAATATCATACTGTTTTAGAAAAACTTCGTAAGAGAAAAAATATCTTGAAAATTTAAACGAAATTTTTAAATGTACATGTATTTTTCTAGAAAGTAAAATTGTTATTGTTGAAGAAGCAGCTGCAATATTTGAAGCACATATTATTACTGCATTGAATACTAAATGTGAACATTTAATTTTAATTGGTGATCATGTACAATTAAGACCTAGTCCAAGTGTATATGAACTTGGAATGAAATTTAAAATTGATGTTTCATTATTTGAACGTTTTGTTAAAAATAATTTTCCAAATGTTCGATTGAATATTCAGGTAATTTATACATACTAGAACATAAAGTTATTTCTTGGAAAATATTGACAACATAATTGATAGTAATCATTTGAGATAAGATTAGATAGTAATTTATAATATATCATTATTTTATTTGTTAACTTTATAATTCTGATAATTTTAGCATCGTATGCGTCCAGAAGTTGCTCGTATAATGAAACATTTTTATGATGATTTGGAAGATCATGTTAGCGTTACAACTGAACGACCACCAGTTCGTGGTATTAACAACAATGTGTTTTTTATTAATCATTCAAATCCTGAAACAGCTGTAGCTGATGGAAGTTCAAAACGAAATAAGTTCGAAGCAAGTTATGTTATTGAATTAGCAAAATATTTAATAAAACAAGGTTATCAAGCGCAACAAATAACAATACTTGTAATGTATCTTGGTCAACGACAATTAATTGCTAATCAAGCAAAACCAATTAAACTTTTACATGGTATTCGTATCATGGTATTATTAACTAATAATTATATTCTGATGCTATAGTTCTATTATTCATTGTTTTGTTTCAGGTTACAGATAATTATCAAGGTGAAGAAAATGATATAATTATATTATCATTAGTACGAAGTAATACACAGAAAAGTATTGGCTTTCTTAAAATTCATAATCGAATATGTGTGGCTTTATCACGTGCACGTTGTGGTCTTTTTGTTATTGGTAATATGACTTTATTAGCAGAAGTAGAAGACATGTGGAAAAAAATTATTAAATCATTAGCTGAAACTAATGAAATAGGCAAAGGTTAGTTGCTCATTTTATTATAATATAAACTAGAATTTTTTATATTAGGTTTAAGTCTTTCTTGTCGTCAACATGAAAAAGATAAATTTATTGCTGATAAACCAGAATCATTTGCACAACGTCCAGAAGGTGGCTGTAATAAACCATGTTGTACTCGACTTAAATGTGGTCATCAATGTGAATTAATGTGTCACAATTATGATTTTGAGTAAATGTTAAAAGAAAAATATTTACGAAGACTATATATATTTTCTTTTTTTTAAGACATAAAGAAGTAGTTTGCCGTAAAAGATGTAATGACATTTTATCATGTGGTCATCCATGTACAAAACGATGTCATGCAGCTACACCAAATCAACATGATCCATGCCGAGTTCGTGTCGAAAAAACAATCAAGCAATGTGGTCATAAAATATCCTTTCAATGTGCACGAACACCAACTGTTAATGATTGTCAACAACTAGTTTTAAGACATCTTCCTTGTGGTCATGCTGTTAATGTTCCATGTTGTATTGTTTCATCACCATCAGAATTAAAAAAATTTCCTTGTTCACAACCTTGTAAGACGGCACTTGCTTGTAAACATGAATGTACGGGAACATGTGGACGATGTCGTACCGGTCAATTGCATATACCATGTCAACAAAAATGTGATCGCCCATTGATTTGCTCACATGTAAGTATAATTTCTAACAAAATAAATAGCTGAAGATTTCTAACATTCTTTTAATTACGTTTAGGTGTGCAAAGCACCTTGTGCTTCGAATTGTCCACCATGCTTAAAGGCATGTCAAACACGCTGTGTTCATTCTCAATGTAAAAAGCAATGTGGTGAATTATGCACACCATGCAAAGAGGTCTGTGCAAATAGTAGAAATATATTTTTACGTTGATTGTAAAAGCATGACTAGATGTATTTCCATTTTTCTCACGAATGAAAAAGCTAAATTTTTAAGTTGAAATATGAGAATACCTTTTACATCTAAAATGAATCGTGTATATACTATACAGATAATAGATCGCTCACGTTTGGGAAAGTTCGAATCACTTCTCAGTAGATCAATATTCTTAAAAGCTTAGTAATTTTTCATTTCTTTTAAGAAAATTATTTAAATGTTAATAAAAACAGTATATTTTTTTTGTATTTAGCCATGTGCTTACAAATGTAAACATTTGCAATGTACACGTTTATGTTCAGAGCCATGTAATCGTGGACCATGTGATCAGCCATGTGATAAAAAATTAAAATGTGGTCATGATTGTTAGTATATATTTTGACAAATATAATTTCCTTTATTTAAATGTCGTTTCCAAAATATAGGTATTGGTATTTGTGGTGAACCATGTCCTCCACAATGTCGTATTTGTAATAAACATATTGTCCAAGAAATATTCTTTGGTACAGAAGAGGAACCTGATGCACGTTTTGTTTTCTTACCTGATTGCGAACATTTGAGTATGTTTTAGAAAATACTTTTTTTTTATACTATTCTAATCTATCATTATTGAATTAGTTGAAGTATCAGCACTCGATACATATGTTGGAAATTCAATTAATAATCCAAGTGAAAATGTAGCTATTCGTTTTCCTGAATGTCCTCGTTGTAAACAACAAATTCGTCGTTGTACAAGATATATGCCAATTATTAATCAAGTACATAATTTAATTACAAAAGTAAAAACAAAAGTCCTAGGTAATCGTACCGAACAAGAAATGAACGATCAACGAATACGTTTAGTGGCCGATTTTGAACAAACAAAAAATAATTTGAAGGAAACTAATCTTGAACAAACGAAAGCTTTCTTTGCAACATTATATAATCCAGATGGTCTTTTATCTGATGATATCTTAGCTCTCATGAAGAATATTCTTTTATTTCTTAAAGAAATCGATAAACTTTTGATTGATGGACGAAAAAGACTATCAGACAATACATTTGATGATTTAGTAAGTATTCCTCTATTAGAGTTAGATATTTAAGTACTTAATAACTGATTTATCTTATATAGATTAGTGCACCACTTAATCATATTATTAAATATTTAACACATCGTCTACATCGAAATTTTTCATTACAACAAACAAATGATATTCAAGCAGAATTAGAACGCATTCGTCGTTTAATTTATATTGAAACTCTTATTCATTCATATAAATCACAAATTTTAACACGTACTTTAAAAAAAGAAGATCAAGAGGGTTTGGATTCTATGCAATATCTCACAAAAAAACCTGGTCCATTTACTGAACAAGATAAACAAAAATTTGATACGCTTGTTAAAAAATTTCAACATCTAAATAATTTACCTGGCTTAGGTATAACTGAACGTGAACGATTAGCGATTGTTGGTGCATTGAGTCTGACTCAAGGTCATTGGTATGTTTGTCCTAAAGGTCATCCTTATGTGATTACTGAAGTATGTATTTATTTTATTATGTTTATTTTAAAAAAATAGTTGTTGTTTTTTTTAAATGTAGTGTGGCGGTGCCAGTCAAGTAAGTAAATGTCCAGAATGTGGAGAAGAAATTGGTGGTCAAAATCATCAATTATTGTCAACAAACCGTCATTTCGGTTTAATGGATGGTTCACAGCATTCTGCGTGGTCTAACGACGCTAATTTGAATATCCGTGTACCTTTTTTATAATTGATTTTAAATTAGATTGTAATCAGTTTTTTTATTCTTATGAGTTTTCATTCATTATACATATAATCTTATAATAAACAAGAATACGACATAGTCATAAAAATAAATAGTTTGCAGATATATTGTCAAAACAAGAATCAAATGAGGCAGGTGATGAATTTCAATAGGTGGATCTTAACGAATCCGATAAAGAATTAATCTCTTTCTGTTATGTCAGTTATAAATATAAATTTATCAATCATTCATTCTTTTGCATTTTTCATAACGAAAATTAAAAATTTTTATTCGACATTACATCTGTTTTCATATTGTATAAAATAGGAAACAAAGTCATATGAACAAAGCAAAATAATTGATTATCTCTTATCTATGGTACAAAAAAAGGCACAATATATATGTACATTACATATCAAAATCATCTTTCACAAGGTAAATTTAAGTATTTTCCAGTTTGTGAATGTATAAGTTTTTGAATTCGTTCAAAGCATGCATTATCACGAAACCAAGTATAACGAAATAATTGAATCATATCCGGTCGAGCAAATGTATTTTTTTCTAATGTTTTTGCAATAATTTCTTTGGCATCCTTTTTGAAATGAGATATTGAATTTAATGCACGAATACCTCGTAAACGGAAAATAGTATCTCCCACATAAGCATTCAGTAAAGTCATACCAAATGACCATACCTAAACAAAAAAAAATAATTATTTAAATCTATCTAAGGAAATGTTGTTTTAATTCTATTAGAATTCAATGCATTCTTAGCTAACTGTTATCATAAATTATTATCTATAGAATATTTTTTATCTTTCTTACTCTTCACACGAAGTCAGATTATTCATTATCAAATAATTATCTACTCACAAAATAAATATATCAAACAATCATATTCTCTCTTATGAATGCGAAAAAATTTAAACTTCTTACATCAGCATTTGTAGAATGTCCTGTTTGAAATAGTACTTCAGGTGCCATGAATTGTTGTGTACCAGCAATCGTTGTATTTAAATATCTTGATGATGCATAAACATATTTTGCTACACCAAAATCACTTAATTTTGCTATTGTTTCTTTTTCATTTGTCATCAGAAGAACATTAGCTGGTTTTATATCTCTATGAACCTAAAAATAATTTCAATTAAAATTTTTTTTTAATTCATTTATTTTTACTATTTTAAGTCGATGTAAATAAGCAAGTGCACAAGCAATTTGATAAAAAATAAATTTACATTCATCATCAGTCATAATATATGTTTTATGTATTCGATCATATAATGATCCACCGCCAGCATATTCCATTTCAACAAATAAATTTGTTTTTTCATGAAACACTTCAAAACGACGTAGGATACATGGATGATCAACGCTACCATGTATCGATCTATGTATACGAATTTAAATAAAATATGAAAATTCAAAACAAAAAAAGTTTATTTACACTTCTCGATAAAGATATTTAGAAAATCCTGGGCCAATTTGTTTTTCACAATGATCTTTATTTATAATTTTAACTGCACGATGTGTTTGTGTTATAGATGATACTGCTTTATAAACATTTGCAAATGAACCTGAACCAAGTAGATTCGCTTTTAAATATCGTTCATCAAGATTAATAACATTAAATAAACCTGATAAACGAATAAATTTATAAGCACGATTTTCTATTAAAGCAAGTGAACTAAAAATTAAAAATTAAGAAAATTTTTCTATTTCATTATTTTATTTCACTTACATAATATGTTCAGGATTTTGAAATGAAATTTTTGATTGATGAACTAATTCACCATCAATATAACAACCATTTCTACTAATATCATGAAAGATTATCGAACGACCATTATTTACACATTCAATAATAAAATGTTTTGAACTTAAATGAATAAAATATTCATGTTGTCGAAGTTCAGGTGAATCTAATACAATATCACATTCATGTAGATGACGTCCAATTGTATATGAAGATTTTGTTAATATTTTACGAGGATAAATGCTATTGATCGGTTCTAAATAACCCCATGGAACTGAACAAGACATAACTATTGAGAAAAATTTCTAATATGGATGAAAACAATAAATGAATTGGACAGTTGAACAGAATTATAAGAAAGACGAAGAAAAGAAAAGAAAAAGGAAAAAGAAAATATGAGTGATCGTCGGGCAATGCTGTGGCTAGAAATTGAAATTATGATCTCTCTCAATTTTCGTCATTCTTCTCTTTCTGTATACATGTATAAAGTGTGTCATGAATGATTACGTATACAAACAATAGAATTATGAAAGAAGATAAACCAAGAATAGATCAAACTTTGTACACACGATTTCTTCAATATAGTTGCACCATTAAAATAAATTTTACTTTTTCAAAATGATCATCTTAATTAAAAACTCTATTAGTGAGCAGCGGAAGCTATGGTGGAAAATCACTTTTGCGCGAGACATATTCGAGGTGGTATAACATCTTTTTCTGAAGAGATAAAAAGAATCGCCTGGGGGTGGCGGTCACCAACCACTGTGTTTCCCACTGTTTGATATATGTATAGATGGATCAATATAGGACGAATTCATTTTTATCATTGGTTTTGTAAATGAATAAACAAATCAAGTTTTATTTTAATAATGATAGCTCTCAATACAATCTATACTGACTGAGAAAAACAATTCTTTGTTTGATTCTACTCAAATCTAATTTACAAAAGAAAATTATTTTTGATACCATATTATAATTAATATCATATCAATTATTGTCAACAGTTGTATCGGATAGAAACACAATCAAAAGTCCTTGATATTTTCTATTTTTAGATTTCTAATAATCTTTTATGTTTCTGATTCTTTGTTATCGATAAATCGATCGAAGTCCGATATCTGATTGTATCTTTTTTGAGATTACGAATTCTATTAATTGGAAAAGACCAAGTAGACAATATTCTACAAAGACAGCTTGTTAAAATATCATTGTTTCAATATTATGAAATTATTTTTCTTTATACTCTTTTTTAATGGTTGATAACGTATTTCCGTATTATTAAAGTGTTTCGCTTATTATTTTTCATGATTCCCAAATAAATTACTTTAATATTACATATATAAACGTCAAAACGAATATTAATTAATGCTATAACTTTCTTTAAGAAAATTTTCTTTAATACGATAAATTAATTGGTATTGTTTTTTATAACAAAGAAAACGAAAATATACGCCATCTGTCTCTTTGTATTGGCTCCTATTTATCTTTCTATATTACGTTTTTGGATTAAAATGTGAACATAATTACGACGCCTATTCAGCCAGAAAAATACGTCATAAACGTAAAAAAAGGTAAAGAATCTGTTCGCACTTGAAGAACGAATGTTGTTCTTTTTCATTGAAATTATTCTTTTCACACTACAAGCAAATGAATATACATATGAAATGACACATATTGCGTGATTTTCCTTTACTTATAAAAATAATTTATTTGTTTTTTTTGTTTCATATTTTATACAGGTAACTATAATGTTGTCGTCGATCGAACAGTGGCAAAGAACAGATATTCAACCAATATAATAAAATATATATTATTTTTTGTATTATAAAATGCCATTGACATTATATTCGACAACATGTTTTATAAAAAATGATCTCTATCGTTTACATATATATGTTAATGATGATGACGACGATAAAAAGAATTCTACAGATACTCAATTATCTAGTTTTACATCGACTGATATTTCAAAAGAGTCGATTAAACCATCATTAACTCAAATAAAGTTTCAATTAATAAATGAGAAGAAGAATACAAATACTTCAAAAATAATTATTCTTAATCAATTACTTAATGTTCAACAAACAAAAATTATTACAAAAAAAACTAGAAGAAATTTTAATATTAGTACGGAAGTTTTAAATACATATGGAACAATAACACCAATAGTTGAACAATCAAAACAAACAAGTTGTACAACATTGAATACACAAATTTCAGAAATTGTTGTACCACAAACACCAATAATATCTCGACAATTTTCATTTGGACGATTTTTTTCAACACAATCAAATCCAGATGATAAACTTAATCCAACATATAAATCAATAGTTAAAATAAATTATGTTGATATATCGAATTCAATTAGATGGAATATAAAAAGATTAGAAGTTGAAGTTGAAACAGAAGATATTGCTAATGAATTGTATATGAATTTAAATTTATGTTTATCAACACTTACACAACGACCTCAGAATCTATTAGTTTTTATTAATCCATTTGGAGGCAAAGGTAATAAGATGTTATGAAAAGAATTAAAGTTTCAGTACTGATCGTATTCATATAATAGAGATATTTTTTATTTTATTTTCTCGATAGTTCAGAGAAGAAATTCTTTTATATATTTTTTAGGTCGAGCACCTTATGTATATGAAAAACAAGTATTACCTATATTTAAAGAATCAAATATTAATGTTAAAGGAATTTATACAGAACGTGCAAATCATGCACATGATTATATCCTTAATGAAGATTTGAGTGGTTACGATGGTCTTATTTGTGTTGGTGGTGATGGAATGTTTGCTGAATTATGTCACGGACTTTTATTACGAACATCTCATGAAGCACATTTAGATATTCATGATCGACAAGTAAATCTAATTCGACCTGATCTAAAAATTGGTGTTATACCAGCTGGTTCAACAGATGCCGTTGTTTTTGGTACAACTGGTTTAAATGATCCAATAACAAGTGCTTTACAGATTATTGTTGGTGAATCACTTTTAATTGATATAGCAACAGTAAAAGAAAATTCTTTAGTTTGATCTATTATTTATTTAATCTATTTTAAAGGTTCATAATGAAAAAGGATTCGTACGATTTATGGCAACAATGCTTGCCTATGGATTTTTCGGTGATATTATTCATCAATCAGATAAATGGCGTTGTTTAGGTCCATTAAGATATGATTTAGCTGGATTCTGTCAGTTTATCTCAAATAAATCTTATCATACGGAATTAACAATAACATTAGCATCATCATCTGATTCAACACAAATATGTCAACCAGGAACAGTAACATTAATGAATAATACTAATAATGAAACAACATCATCTTCTATACCTCCTTTAACTCAAACAAAAGATACTATCAATTCAACAACAAATACTTCGAATAAAGTTCTCGATAAAATAGTAACGCCAGGATTAGAATTTTGTCGTAGAAATTGTGAACAATGTGCTCTAGTAGATAAACCTCATACTGATAAAGTTCAATCACCATTACAAATCAAATGTGAAGGAAGATATACAACAATAAATTGTCTTAATATGCCTGGACGATGTGCAAAAAGTAAATTTGGAATGTCACCATATGTCCACTTAGGTAAAATGAATTGTTAAAATAATTAAAACTTTTTTTTTGCAATACTTTTTAGGTGATGGAACATTTGATTTAATACTAGTTAAACGTTCCTGGTTCACAGGTTTTCTTCGTTTTCTTATTCAAGTTGCTAGTGATGGTCGAACTATAGAAGATTTACATAATGTTGAACGACATCGTGTTAGTGAAGTTCTTATACGTCCAATGCATACCGATCAGATACGTCTTGGTAATTGGGCATGCGATGGTGAAGTTATTTCTGGTAATGAAATTAAGATTCGTATTCATCGTCAAGTTCTTAATCTTTTTGCATCGGGTATACAATTTGATAATGTACGAACTAATAATCCAATAAAAGAAGTTAAAACAAACTAAATCTAGTACACGTTTTCGAATTCAAAACAACAAAAGATGAAGAAGAAAATAAATTATTCAATGATATATAATTTTTCTTTTTCTTTTGAATGTATATGCACGAAATTTTTATAACGTATTTCTTTTTCTCATAATTGTACTATGTGATCTTCTTCGTCTTTTATCCGTATATGGAGTAACAATAAAATTTAAATAATGAAATATTCGATAATTTCTATATGATAAAAAGAAAAAGTCAATAGAGCTGTTTATTTACTTTCAGTTAATATTTCGATTAAGTATTACGTCTAAATATACTTATTACGGTACGAAAAATAATTTATCTAAACAAACAAATAAAAATGATTAATTTCAGATGAATCACAGTAACAAAAAAAGTAGTATTAATCGATTCATTATATGTCTTATTATTGCCATCCAAACAGAAAAACGAATATAATAAACAAATACATTTTTTTAATGAATACTATCAAATATTTTTCAAGAAAAAAATTTTTTTTTTCTTTCTTAGTTAATGTCAATATCAACACGAATTTGTAGGCCAGCAGCTAATGTTCCAAAGGAAAATAAATATGGAAAACTAGAAAACAATATAATTATCATTTTTATAAGAATGTAAATAAGTTTTACTTACATTATAGCAGCTTTCCAAGCTAATGAAAAAAGAAATCGAAAACATCGTGTCATTATGGATTGTACATGAGTATATGATTGTAAATGAGGTGTCATTGACAATGCTTTTACAGACAACATCATTTACATTGATCTGAAAGGGAAAATATATAGACATAATTAACAGCAAATACAATAAATTAAGAGGTCATAAGGAAGATATTTCGAGATATATGACTCATGTATTGACGTAGGTTTTAGTTCTATGACTGGTACTGATGAATATACATATATCTCGTTCTATTATCTGTTTTTTTCCATATTTTTCTTCGACATTAATCAGCTATTTTTCTCTCTATGGAACATGTATAAAAGATGATGCTTCTGGCATTATAGCTACCCACGGAAGCAACTATTCTTTACGTCAATATACATACAATTAGTAAGATGGGAAATCTACATCCGTCTCGTATCGAACGTCCTGAATTAAATGAACGTGAATTATCTTATATAGTTCTTCATACACATTTTACACGAAAACAAATCAATGATTTTTATGTTCGTTTTTTATCTTATTATCCACGTGGTTATGTAAATTTTGATCAATTTTGTGATTTATATTGTGATGAATTAAAACATTTATATAATTCCCGACCATTACTTGAACGAATATTTCATCATATTGATACAGATAAAAATGGACAATTAAATTTTAAAGAAATACTTTTTTTCAAAGCAATAAATATGCCTGAAACAGATATTGATGAAAAATTTCGATGGATTTTTTTTCTTTACGACACAAATCATGATCATCAAATTGATAAACATGAATTTATTAATTTATGTCATTTTGCTTATTATATTCATGGAAAATTATTAACAACAAAACGATTGTATGAATTAAATAATTTATTTGAAAAATTTGATATCGATGATAATCAACAATTAAATTGTAATGAATTTACTGAATTATGTAAACAATGTACAGATCTACTTGAATTAATAACACCAATGTTTACTAATACAAAATGGAATACTAAAGTTAGTTAAAATTTTATTTGTATATATGTAAAATAATTGAATGTTTTGTTTTTCTTTTAGAAAGATCATCATCTTCCAAAATATTCAACAACAACAACAACAAATGAACTTACATCCGATCGAATAGAATATTTAATGAAACGAACAAAATTTACTCGTGAACAAATTTTAAATTATTATGAATCATTTCGATGTCGTTGTCGTTCAGGTCGATTATCAAAAAGTGAATTTATTAAATTTTATCAAAAATTATTACAATCAAATTCAGCTGAAACATATTGTGAATTTTTATTTCGTGCTTTTGATAGTTTATCTAATAATGGTTTTATTGAATTTGATGAATATCTTATTGCAATTTATATACATAGTAATGCAAGTACAGCACGAGAAAAACTTGAATGGCTTTACAAAGCTTATGATCGTGATGATGATGGATTTATTAGTTATAATGAAATAAATCAAATAGTTCATGCATTATTTATTTTATATGGTATTGATCGTGAAAAACATAGTGTTGCGTATGTAGCATATGATATTATGGCAACATTAGATTTAAATGATGATGATAAAATATCCAAACAAGAATTTATGAATATACTTAAACATAAAGAACTTACCAGTTTTTTGGCACCATCACTTGTAAAACAAAGTTAAAATAGTTTCAAAGATAAAACAAAACTAACTAACTAACTGATTGTCAGTGATTTTATAACTATTCGTTGAATGTGATAACGAATCAGATTTTCATCAACAGATGACACTGTTGTGAATCTATTCTACAATTTAGTACCTCGATTCTACTATATGCTTGTTTTTTATTATTGTCAGTGCTTTTCCCTCGTTCTGTTTCTCTTTTCAAATAAACTACTTTTTACAATCATATTTTTTGTATACTTAACTGGACTTACACGTTTTATAGCTAGATAATAAGTGATGGGAAGTGACAATAAAAAAAGAAAGACAACGAATAAATATATGAAAATCTATAGAAAAAAAACAACGCACTTAGCATGACGTCTTTCTTTTTCTTATTATTGTGTGTGTGTGTGTGTGAGTGCGTGCTTTAATTTAAGTAAAGCTAAAAACATAAATATACGTAATATTTGTTATTTATGAATATAACTAGAATTTCTATGTGTCTTTCATAGTATTTTATTTAGATATGAAAGCTGCACGTCTTTTTCACTTTCGAGGTCTTGTTCATACTCGTATACAATGTCGAGGTTTGTTGATTAATAAAATATAATGAAATGAAAAAAAAAGAATTAATTTAGGAAATAGTATTCTCAGTCAAGAACCATCTGGACCAAAGATGAAAACAAAAATTCCTGTAATATATTTTCATTATTATAAATCATTTTTTTGAAATTTATTTTTTCTAATGATTTTAGGGTCCAAAATCAAAACAGTTCATGGATGATCTCGAAAAAACTCAAGTAAATAATTATTTTAAAATCACATATAAATAATAGTTTATTGATTTCGACATTTAGAATCCTTTAAGTACAATTTTTGTACTTGATGTTGATAAATCTATAGGTAATTATGCTGTTGATGTTGATGGTAATGTTATGCTAGATGTTTATGAACAAATTGCTTCTCTTCCATTGGGTAATTTATGAAAAATACTGAAAAGACCATATTAGATTTGAAATTGTTTTTTTTATAATAGGTTACAATCATCCAGCTATTCAAAAAGTTTTTCAAGATTCAAAAAATTTAGTAGGTGTTCTCACAAATTATGAAATAGAATTTAAACATTTTTCATTTTATAGAGTCAACTTGTCAATCGACCAGCACTTGGAGTTCATCCAACACCTCAATTTATCAAACAAATTGATCAAACACTTCTTCCAGTAATATATTTTTTGTTAATAATATAATCTATTGATTCTTAATATAGGTTGCACCTAAAGGTCTTGAATATATTCAACCAATGATGTGTGGTTCATGTTCAAATGAAAATGCATTTAAAGCTATTTGTATATGGCATGCAAATAAACAACGTAATGGAAAAGCATTTACTGAAGAAGAGTTAAAATCATCAATGGTAAACAAACCACCAGGTAGTCCAAGTGTTTCATTAATGTCATTTGAAGGAGCTTTTCATGGACGAACCTTTGGTAAGAAGAAATAAAAATATGAAAGGATATATTATTTTTATTTTTATCTTTTTATTTAGGTGCATTATCATGTACACATTCGAAAGCAATTCATAAAATAGATATTCCAAGTTTCGATTGGCCTATTGCACCATTTCCAAGATATAAATATCCTCTAGAAGAAAATGATCGAGAAAATAAAAAAGAAGATGAGAGATGTTTAGCTCGTGTATGTATTATTTTTGTTCTTCTTCTTCTTCTTCGATGAATTGAAATAAGATCAGATAAGAAGATATTTAATCAACTTTTTTTCTTAATTAGATTGAAGAATTATTTCATGAATATAAATCAAAAAAGAATCCAGTAGTTGGTGTTATAATTGAACCCATACAAAGTGAAGGTGGTGATTTTCATGGAAGTGCAACATTTTTTCAACGCTTACAAAAACTAACTAAACAGGTTAAAATCTTGATTTTTATACAAACAAATAATAAAGATACTTCATATTGTTTTAGAATAGTGCAGCATTATTAATTGATGAAGTTCAAACAGGTCTTGGTGCAACAGGAAAATTCTGGGCACATGAACATTTCAATTTACCTGAAGCACCTGATATAGTAACATTTTCAAAGAAATTTCAAACCGGTGGTTATTTTGCTAAAAAAGAATTTCAACCTAAACAAGTTTGTTTAAAAATAAAAACAACATTAATGTATATATATATCTATATTTATAGCCTTATCGTATTTTCAATACTTGGATGGGTGAACCAGCAAAAATGTTAGTTTTAGATGCTATATTAAAAACAGTGAAACAAGAAAATTTAGTTGAAAATACAAGAAAAACCGGTGAAGTTCTTTTAAATGGTTTAAAAGATATAAGTAAACAATATTCAAAATTAATATTAAATACACGTGGTCTTGGTACATTTTGTTCGTTTGATATGCCGAATGCATCAGTACGTGATAAATTTATTGGTGAAATGCGAAATGCCGGTAAATGAAGGAATAAAATTTTTTATTTTGATTATTTTTCTTATACATAAGGTATTCAAATGGGACCATGTGGTGATGTTGCTGTACGTTTTCGTCCAGCATTAATTTTTGCTGACAAACATGCTCATATCGTTCATGACAAAATGAATGAAGTTTTGAAGAAACTTTAAATTATAACATATTTTATTTCTTTTTTATTGTAATTGTATTGAGAGGAAAAAAGCCGAAGAAAACATAAAAAAATTTTTATATAATTATTTAAGTGAAGTTATTAATGCTGGTGATGTTGAATTTCGAAGCATAGCTGATAAACGTCGTTCAGCTTCATATTTTTGTCTTTGAGCATCTTGTTCTCGTTGTTGTGCTAGTTTTAATTGATGTTGTAAAGCTATTTGTTGAAGATTAACAGGTAAATTTCCATTAGATAAAATTAATTTTTCATCAGATGTATCTTCACCTAAACAGCCAAATGGACCTGTAGAATTTGTACGAAAACCATGAATAATATAAGCAAGAACAAGTGCAGCAAAAATTAAACAAAGTATACCAAGTACAATAGAACACTATAAGAAAAAGAAAGACGTATTTTAAATTTATTATTTAAAAAAATTTTCATACTGTACGCCAAACTCTAAGTGCATAGATCCATTGTTCATAATTTCTTTCGGGTACACGTATCCAATCAATAAAAGTATCATTTTTTTGAAAGATCATTGAACCAAATGGTCCATTTTCCTTTATATATGCTTCATCATGAATAGCAGCGAATGTGCCTGAATTGATTATCGTTACGAAGAATATAAAATGACGTTGTATAAACATAGAATAATCAACAAATTACTTGTTTAGTTTTTGATATGATAGAAGTTTTTTGTTAGAACGAAGAGTAACATATATATATATATAAGAAAAAGCGGGAAGTATTTTATTTTATTTTTGCTTTGTTTATTAAATAACTGAAAATATATTCGGTTTTTTTTTTAATTTTATAATTGTCCAATGTTTTTAAATGGAGATATATGTCGAGGATCTATAATTGTATTGAACATTGGAATATTGTCTGTCTGTGAATAATCCGCTAGTTCTGATGATGTCATTTTATCATCAGAAGAATTTTCATTAATATGTTTATGACAAAGAGAAAAAGGACCTGTTGATGTCTGAAAATTATGAATAAGAAAAGCAACTACAATAGTAAAGAAAATAAAACATAAAATAATTAACATGATTGACCACTAGAATAACAAGAAAAGAAATAAAAATTAGAATAAAAAATATTTTTAATTCTTACTGTTCGCCACATTTTTTGATCTTTAATCCATTCTGTCATATATTCATATGGTACTTCAATGAATCGTGAACCATTTTCATCGATATATAAAACAAAATTTGAAGTATCTAATGATTCTCCACCGATAGCACGATTTGCTAATGATAATTCTTCATCGGTATACATTGTCGAACATAAAGCAATTTTTAACAGTAATATCATGAAGATTATTTTTAAACTAATTTTAAATTGATGATAAATCGATAATAATAAGTACATTGGATAATTAGAGATTTAGAAGAATCTTTAGAAAGAACGTAGAATAAGAAGAGTATTATTTGATATGATCAATAGAATAATTAATAGCGGGAAATTCATATTATAATATGTCTTTGTACGCTAAATATTAATAGTTATCTATCGATAATTTAATATATTTATACACATAAGATATTCTTTTACTTTTAAATGCAATAGAAATATAAAACTCCTTGGTCACATAATAACTTCATTCTTTTATGTATGATACTTGAGTATTTAAATCAGTTGTATCGTATATTCTAAATTCCATTCTTTTCTTTTTCGTTAATAAAAACAAGAATTATTTGTATCTCGAGGAATGGATCATGTCCTGCGACTGAAAGAAACTGTTTCGCTTCAAGGTGAAATCCTTTACACTCACAAAGTCAATGGGAAATTCTTCTTCGACCGAAGTCGAAACAATTTGAAGTGCAAAAGTTCATCCAGATCTCGACTCATATAGAAAAATCGAAGAGACATAGAGATATATGCATTATTTTATTTTTCTACATAGAATAGCTTTATAAATTGTTATACACACGCCGTCTCTTCAGGGTCATCATCGTATCTCACTTTCACTATCGTTATTCTCCTTTTTTTGTTCTGTTCTCTTTCTCACTACACAGCGTGTGTGATTTTGCTTCACTCTCCTCTACCATGCGCATAGACGTATGTCATGGTTGAATAAATATGATTTCAAATACAACTACAAGCAATCACATCACTGTAAATTTGTTTTTAAATTTCATTTTGTAGAAAATCATCTCTAAAATAAGCTAAAGCATTTTTAAACTTATTTTATTCTATGCATTTATATGATTTAAATGTTTATAAATTTCAATCAAAATTATTTATTTCATTCGATGCATTTATATGAATTAGAATTAAATTAAATTGAATTATTAATTTTATTTCATGGTGAAAATTTATTGTCAATATAAAACAAAATAAATAAAATATACTATATTATTACATGAAAATCAAATTCCATTTTAAATTTTTAAAAAATACTGGAATTGATAAAAAAAAACTTCAGATTTCTAGAAATATTCAAATAAATTCATTTTAGATTTTTTAATTGGATGATCGAATTTATTACTTTTAATGTTTCAAATATTATTATTTTCAAAGAATTGAAAGTTTTTCTGCACAAATTCATATAAACATCTCTGGAATATTTTTCATTGAAATCATAACTAATTTTCTAGTTTACAGTGTATCATACGATGTATTTCATATATTAGACTTCAATGGCATTTTATGTAATGTACAACAGACAACAACAAGAGTTATTTCTAACTAATTTTTATTATTGAAAAACAGAAAATAAAATATAAAAAAGAGAAAAAAAGAAAACTACAAGTAAAAGATATGGTACTAACTAAATGTATAAATAATATCAATATTGAAAGCGAAAACAGAAAAGAGAAATAAAAAAAGAGAAAATGATAAATAAAGAATATGATACTAACTAAGTTACTAAAAAAAGTTAATATTTCGTATTTTATATGCCGGTAACTGCAATTCGTCGTTTCTATAAAAAAAAAA